CTTTAAAATAAAAAATAATAAAAAAATAAAAAATAAAACAATAAATTGCCCAGGCTGGGTTTGAACATGAAACCCTCCTGCCTTAGCCTCCCAAGTGTTGGAATTAAAGGTGTGCACCACCATGCCTATTTGTGGGGATTTCTCAGGCCTGGAGTACAGATATCTCTTCCAGACTAAATTTGTGTGTTCTTCTGCCAGGTATATTGAGCAACTCTCAGCCTAAAGCCATTTTAAATGAAATTCATCTACTGTTAATTCACAAAACCTCACAGATGGGAATTTCAGCTGTGAATCCAGATGAGGCCATCTTTTTTTTTTTTTTTTCTTTTTCTTTTTGAGACAGGGTCTCATTATGCAGTTCAGGCTGACCTTGAGTTTTCTTTGTAGCCCAGGCTGGTCTCGAACCTGCAGCAATCCTCCTGCCTCAGCCTCCCGAGTGCTGGGATTACAGGCATGTGCCACTACGCTCAGCTTAGATGCCATTTTAAGCTTCCTTTCTGTGGGCAGTTACACTCATCACACTCTGCATAGGGCTGGCCTGAAACTTGTAAACAGAAGCCCAGGTTTGCTGGACTTGGGCTCATGCTTTCCACTCCTATGGGGACTGCTGTTCTAGAAGGTGGTGCTTGTTCCTCATTGTCTCCTGAGCATCCTGATACCTTTAAGGAGATACCCTAAACGGGTACACTGTTGTAATCCCAGCTATTTGGGAGGTTGAGGCAGGAGGGTCACAAGTTCAAGGCCAGCTGGGGACCTGGGCATGATGGGATATAAATCCCAGCATCTGAAAGGCTGAGGCAGGAGGCTCAGCCTTGACTAATAGGAAGACCCATCTCACAACAACCACAACACCTGGAGATGTAGCTCAGTGCTCCTTGGGTTCAAAACCCAGTACAGCAATCGGTCAGCAAAGTGTCCTTTCATTTTGTTGGCATTTGTAGTACTTCTCAGCAGGAGAGCTGGTCCAGATTTGTGGCATAGCACAGTTTTACAAGTGGAAGTTGGTTTTTATAAAATCTTAAACCATTTTTCATTTAGCACTTTTTAAATCTGGACTATGCATGGTAAGCAGGCTGTTGATTTTGTTTGAGTGTGGTTAGATGTGGGGAACTTGAAACCTGCTAAAAGCGTACACACACGTGCGCACGTATGCCGTACATACCCTTCCATGCACTAGATAAGAACATGCTTTGTGAAGTTCACGTCACATAGGTGACAGCCTGGGCTGAGATGACAGCATCGCACTGAGCTCAGGGCAGCTGCCTCCAGGGGCCCGTGCAGCCCTCCTTGCATGTGGCCCGTGCTGTGTGCAGGGATGCAGTGAGAGTGTCCGCCGGGGCTCTGGGGACGGGCGCTGTGCAGGGCAGCCCTGCAGCCATGCCAGGTCAGTCACCTGGGCAGACCTGTGAGGTAATTTTTTAAGTAGTGACATTCAGGTCAGAGGCTGCTAGGGCTCTGCTTCTGCCCTAGGCTCACCTTCCCTGCAGGATGCCTGACTTGAGAGTTTAGCTGAGGCTGAGCAGGGAGGGGAGGGGAAGGGGGGGGGAAAGAGCCGGGGAGGAGAGGAGAGGAGAGAGGAGAAGAGAGGAGAGAGAAACCAGCTCACGTGCTGGGGCCAGGGTGGCAGGATCAGCCATGGACTCACCTGCTTTCGTTTTTTTAATATGTTAAATATGTAAAGATTCTTTTCAAAAATAATTTTAAAAATCATTCTTTTCAAATATGTTAAATATTTGACACTTACTATCTTAACCAATTCTGTGCATGCAGTATTGCTATCTTTGGAGAAATATAAAGTCCTTTGCCCATTTTTAGTAAGATTTGGCCAGGGGTGCTGGCGCACAGCTGTAATCGTAGCACATGGGAGCCTGAGGCAGGAGGATTGCTGCAAGTTTCAGGCCAGCTTGCACTTCGTAGTGAGTTTAGGTTAGCCTGAACTACATAGCAAGACCCAAAAAAAAAAAAAAAAAAAAAAAAAAAATCATTCGGGTGTGTGTGTGTATTGGTTGACTGAAGTTTACATATTCTGGATATTGACAGTGTATCAGGTATATTTGAAAATATTTTCTTCCATAACCACCCTGTTGTTAAGAATCCTTTAAAGCACAAACATTTTAAATTTTCATAAAGTCCCATTTATTTTTTTCCTTGGCTGCCTGTGATTTTGGTGTCATGTCCGGCGAATCATAGCCAAATCTAGGATCAGTAAGGCTTCTTTCTCCCCCTCTGTTTTCTGCTAAGATTTTATAGTTCTGGCTCTCACATTTAGGTATTCGATGCACTTTGAATTAATTTTTGTGTATGGTGTTAGATGAGAGGCCAGCTTTATGCTTTGGAGTGTGGACACCCAGTGTCCCCAGCACTGTCTGTGGAAAATACTACGCCCCCCTCCCGTGGATAAGCTGGGCAATTTTGACGATAGATCAAAGACCATTTGACTGTACCCAAGTTGGTATTTTTTTTTTTTTGGAAAGTTTATTTCTAGACTGATAATGTGTTGCAGATGAGTTAATACTGGCCTGTCTCGCACACGGCTCTCCTGGCGCTTCGGGTCGTTAGTCTAGCATTTGGGATGGACCCCGCTGCTCCTTTTCTTTCGGGTTTCCTGAAGCCAACAGGGTATAAGGTGGATTTCATCAAATGCCTTTTCTCAAGTCTCTGGGTCTAAAGATGGTCTTTTTGCCGCATCTCACAATGCAGAGTGGTTAACAGGGAGCAGACACTCACGTTCTGACTTGAACGTGAGCCGGGGCGCAGTGGGGCAACGTGTGCTTCGCGTGCGCGGGCCGTGGGTTCCATCCCCAGCACCACAGAAGATAAAAACAAGACCAAAAATAAAGAGTTAGATTTTTGTTTTCAGGTCCCGTCCCTCTTCCGTTCTTCAGGGACCCTAAATCTACTTCGTTAACCGCGTTACAGTTAACCCCAGCGTCACTCAGGCAGCGCATTTGTTTCCGTACTGACGATCCCAAGCGTCGCTCTGGCAGGTGTCTTTTCAGTCAGTCGATTCTTGTATTGAATAAATTTGATGTAATTGTTGTTTTATATTTCCTGTAATATTATAAAAGTTAAACAATATGCAGCTTTTGGTCATCCTGCATTTAAAGAATCGGGTGGTAAGTGGTTAATGCATTTCCTTCTCCATAACCCACAGCTCCGTCTGATCTGTTGACAGGTTGTGAGAGTTTCTCTCACCCCCGCCGTGTGGACAGTGCCACACGCCGCTCCAGACAGCAACGGCTCTGGTGTGCATTCTCCAGTGTTTCTTTTGTCACAGAGCCTGGCGGAGCCGCAGCTCTTCCAGCGTCAGCCCTGAGCTGAGTGAGGAACGTGCAGCAGACATGGTGAAGATGACCAAGTCCAAGACGTTCCAAGCTTACCTGCCGAGCTGTCACCGCACGTACAGCTGTATCCACTGCAGAGCCCACCTGGCCAATCACGACGAGCTGATCTCCAAGGCAAGTGGTTTGCGTCCTGAAACCCGCGAGATGACCTCCATGCAGCGGTTCTTTGCCCTTGTGCTTCCTGCTTAGGGGATGAATGTTTGATCATCACAGACTTCCTGAAAGGCTTATGTGTCAGCGTGGCTAGGCTGAGTCTTGGTGATTTTGGCATGGGCGTCGCAAGGCCGACAGTGAGGACTCCTGTACATCATGAAGAACAAGATGAGTCCATAATTTGTCAGAGCAGAGTCAGAGAACATTCAAAAGCAAGAGAGATCTCAGAAGGCTGTAGAAATAGCTTAATAAGAATTGGGAGGGCCGGGGATAGAGCTCAGTGGCACAGCGTCTGCCTGGCAAGTGCAAGGTTGTGAGCTCATTTCCCGGCACCAAAAAACAAACAAGAAGAACTGAGAAAGTCACGTGTGCACAGTGTTGAAGATTAAACCAAGCGCCTCACACATGCTCGGCAAGTGCTCTGTCACTGAACGACGCTGCAGCCCAAGAGCTTTTTTAAAGCTCAAGAGTTAAGAAGGAAGAAAATCGGGCCTAGTGGTGCAGACCTGTATGCAGTCCCTGCACTGAGGGAGGCTGAGACAAGAGTATCACAAGTTTGAGTCTAATTTAGGGACTTAGTCTCTGTTTCAAAATTAAGAATGAAAAAAGGGCTGGGATTATAACTCGGTGGTAGAGGACCCCGGGTTCGGTCCCCAGTACCCCCCCACACAAAAGAGGCTGCTCAGACGAAGCCCGGGGATGCAGCTCAGTGGCAGAAAACCTCCCTAACACCAAAAGAAAGGGAAAGAAACACAGCGACCCACAAGGCCTGGCCACCAGGAAAGGGTCTGTAGAAGGCTGTGTGAGAGAATCTTATTTTTATTCTAATTTTTTGGTACTGGGAATTGAACTCGGGACCTTGCGCTTACCAGGCAGGCACTGTGCTGCTGAGCTAAAGCCCCAGCCCGTGTGGGGCTGTGTGAAGCTCTGGGTTGTCTCTGTGCACAGGGCCACAAAGAGCCTTGAAGACGTAAATAAAGAAGACATCATTAGTACATGATGTTTAGACTCGGCCAGGTGGGACAGCTGGAACAACCCAAGTGTAATGGGCGTATTGGCAGTCACTCTGGTCACACAGCCTCCACCTGCCCACCCAGAGACTGGGCGACCCCTGGCCCATCACTGACTCACTCTGAGCAGCTCCGCCCCGCTGCCCACCCTCCCAGACCATTTGAAACTCCCATCAGGAAGCTACACCTTTCAGGAATCTCTTTCTTGCCTTCTTTTTTTTAAAACTCAACTAGAAGAACCTCCATCTGTTCATCTTTTAGTGGTAATAAGAGGTGATCTCATCTCTGTTCATCATCTGCAGTAAAAACTGTGAGGCCAGTTTCTGCTGTCTTGTTGCCTCTGGCTCCTTGGCTTCTCTAGAAGGTTCAGGAAACCAGTGGAAGCTTCTTGGGCACCTTGTTTTCCAAAGCAGTCTCAGTGTGTGCACCAGTGTCATGAGGTAATGACAGAGCCATGACACCTGCTCTTGGCCATGGCTGTTCATCAGACACATGGTCAGAGTCGGACACCATTATTGTCTGGAGAATTTTGAGCGTTCATCATTAGGGAAGCCATAAGGAATTTGAGATGCTTCTTGCGAAAAATGCCATTAAATGTTTTTAACTTTACATCAAGAGCAGAAGCCAGCTAGGAAGGGAGCGGAGAGAAAGTGTTATCTTTTTTTTTTTTTTTTTGTCATCTTTTTCGAGGCAGGGTCTCCCTGTGCAGTTCAGGCTGGCCTTGAGCTCACTTTGCAGCCCAGGCTGGTCTCGAACTCACAGCAATCCTCCTGCCTCAGCCTCCCGAGTGCTGGGATTACAGGTGTGTGCCACCACGCCTGGCAAGAAAGTGTTATCTACTGTGACACTGGATGAGCATTTCAGATTGAAAAGAGGCCGAGAACTAAACTCTGTGAGCACGCAGGCTGCCATCGAGTGTCAGACCTTGCATTAGCGCTGGTGCGAAGACGACGGCGTTGGGAAACTCTTTTTCCTCCCTGTGTCATTATTCCGGTTGGAGGACTTCATCAGAATATTAAAGGAACATTTTTCACCAGCACTGAGCTATGTCTTCAGCCCTTTTTGGAGACAAGGTCTTGCTAGCAGCCCAGGCTGGCTTCCAACTTGCAGTCAAGTAGCTGGGTTTGCAGATGGGCATCGCTTGCCCAGCCGGAACACTTACTATGTGGAGCAGATTCCAGTGCACTTGAAGCTGGGGGCGCCTTCCTCACAGGGATTTGCTAGCTTCTGAGTGCATCTTCGTCACTAGCAAGGAATGCCCTTGTCCAGGGGAGCCCCTTCTCGTTGGCAGCTCTACCTGCCAAAACGGCCTCTGCGCCCCATAGCTGCAGTGTAACCCAGCACCCTGCCTGTGTGCGCTGTTACTGAGCACCAGCGTGCACACCTGTTTCCAGTCTTCTAGAGCTACTTTTTGCTGTGACAAATAGTTGGAACAGAGGCTCAATGGCCCACAAAGCCTAAGCCATTTTATTTCCTGGCCCTAGTTTACAGGAACTGCTTGCCCTGTGCTCTGGGGAGACTGAGGTGTGGCTCTCAGTCATATTGCTATTCCTGTCATTCATCTAAGCCCTGCTGAAAACCTGAGGACTTGAGGAGGGGGCAAGAGAATTAAAAAATTCAGTCTAGAAAACTGACAGCTGATAAGGATGTGTGAAAGGTCTATAAGACTATTAGAAGCAAGTGTGGTGGCACACACCTGTAGTCCTAGCACTTGGGAGGCTGAGGCAGGAGGATTGCTGTGAGTTCGAGACCAGCCTGGGCTGCAAAGTGAGCTCAAGGCCAGCCTGAACTGCATAGTGAGACCCTGTCTCAAAAAAAAAAGACAATTAATAAAATTGAACATAGAATAATATTCCTAATCTTAGAAAGCCACCTAGGGGACTACCCCTTTTTAAGTCTAAAAGCTGTATTTTAAAAATCAGAACACGGATGTGCTGGAGTGTGGCTCAGTGGTAGAGCGTGTGGTTAGCACGTGTGAGGCCATGATTCAGTCCTTACTACCACAAAAGCAAAGCTAAAAACAACTAGCACCAAGCAAGGTAGAAAAAAGCCTCTCAGTGCTTAAAGCAAAGGTTGATTTCATGCTCAGGTGAAATATATCAAGGGTCAGCTGGAGGCTCTTTTTTTTTTTTTTGATAAATTAGAAAGAAATTATTGCTTATAATTGCACATTAAAATAACATGCACATTAAAATAAGAGCACTGGTGGCATCCAGGCTGAAGTGAAAGGATTGCTTGAACCCAGGAGTTCAAGGCCAGCCTGGCAACGCACCCAGACCCCATCTCTTGGGGAAAAGCCAAGTGCAGTGGTGCATACCTGTAATCTCAGCTGCTCGGGAGGCTGAGGCAGGAAGCTTACAAGTTCCACTTAGCCTGTCTCAAAATAAAATTAAAAGCTGGAGGTGCCATGATTTTAGTCATTTGCAGAGTGTTGAAGCAACAGCATTAGGCTCTTCCTGAGGCAGTGTAGACCCTAAAGCAGCTCGTGGTATTCAGTAACCACTACCACTAGCATTGGAGTTTGGGGGCACATCCCATCTGCTCTTTTGGCTGCTGTCCTAGGAGAGCTAGTGGGACCTCTAAGCAGTAGCCTTTCTGGTGCTGGCGCGCATGCTCTCCCCTTGTCCCGGGTTCAGATGCGGAGAAGCCATCCCTGGGCGCTGGCCACAACACTCTTCTAACACCTACTTCTTCTTTGCAGTCCTTTCAGGGTAGCCAGGGACGAGCCTACCTCTTCAACTCCGTGTGAGTACTTGCTGCTCTTACGTTGTCCAGCTGCGGCCTGGGGCGGGGTAGATGGCGTCTGTCCACCTGTTCAGTTATTCAGAGCTGGAATCCATAGAGAAGTTCCACCTGCAGTCTTGAGTTACCCAGTCAGTGCCACGATCTGACCCTGGTCTGGGTGTTCCTGAAAGTGTTGTTTTATCTGAGCATTTAGCCTGCCAGCCTGTTCTGTGTTGGCATCTCCTGGGGGTATGAAAAGTTATTCCCAGGCCAGGGCTAGAGCTCAGTGGCAGAGTGCACACCTAATCTGCGGGAGGCCTTGGGTTCGAGTCCCAGTATCCTGTACCTGCTCCAAAGAAGTTGTCCCCTCTCCATACAGGTGGTGGCCTGCAGCGGTAGGGGAGCTCAGAGGTGCAGTGCCTTCTCGTAGGAACTCCCCGTTTCTGGTGGTCTTTTAATGACAAGTGCTGGGCCAGGGCTGGGGAAGCCAGCAGCAGGGCCAGGAAAGGGGGATGTCTAACATGGCCACCCCCGTCCCTACAGGGTGAACGTGGGCTGTGGCCCTGCCGAGGAGAGGGTCCTTCTCACTGGGTTGCACGCGGTCGCGGACATCTACTGTGAGAACTGCAAGACCACGCTCGGGTGGAAATACGTGAGTACCAGCCTCTGACAGCAAGCTGTCTGCAGACACAGCCAGATGCAAGGGAGTCGCACGGACCCCTGCAGCAGGATACATGACATCACAGTCAAAAACGACATTTTCCAGTAGTTTCTTTGGAAGCTGGTTAGGGGCAGTGCACACCCAGGGCCCACCTTGTTTGCTGCACGTGGCACCACTCAGGGCAGCAGGACCTGCTGGGGCTGGAGTCTGAGGGCCGCCCACAGTCCACAGTCTCCTCTCTGGAGACCCCGCTTTCTCCCCAGACCTTGAGCTGGGCGTTGCCATCCCCGCCCCATCTCCAGCCTTCATCTCTCCCCTCCTCCTGTCTCAAAGATGATGAGCCGGCCCCTCCTGGCCCGTCTGCCCACCCCCTGCAAGGCGTGGCCTCGCCCAGGGTTCCCCGAGTCTCTGCCTGCACCGCAGAGGCCAGCAAGGTGCTCAGTCTCTGTTCCTGCCACTGTCCAGCACCCGCCGTCATCTGCTCACCCTTCCCCGCCCCCGGCCACAGCAGCCTGGCTTGGTTCTGACCACTTCATGTGGGCAGTTTCCAAACATCTGCCTCTGCGCAGCTTCTCTTCTAGAAGATGCCACCTGGCCACCTTGTAGATGCTGCACCCTGGCTCTGGCATTTGAGGTACCTGCCTTGCATGGCACCCTCCTTTTTTCAAGGCGTCTCCTTTCTGGCTTTGGAGTTCCTCAGGTCCAGGCTGCCTGCGCTCCCTCTTTCTTGAATTCCTGAGCAGCTCTGGTCTCCAGGATTCCCCGTGGGCTGTGAGAGGAGACACAGTCCACAGCACAGAGCCGGGCCCTGTGGAGCCTTCAGGGGTCCCCAGCGTCTCCACCTGTTTAGCTCTGTGCCATCGCTGTGACCCCTCTTCCCAAAGCCCTGTCCTCTCTCCATGGCCTGTGCTGAGTGCATCTCCTGCTGCACCTGTCCCTGCTGAGCCCTCTCTCCTGTGTCTGCCAGGCATGACTCGCCCTAGTCATCTGTGTCTTCAGCACCTAGCATCAAGCCACACATTTGATGTGACAAAATGAGGGCGTGTCCACAGTCATACTCCCGCAAAGAAGGCGGACTCTTACCTGAACATCTTTGACCTGTTTTTCCCATTGTCTCTCTGTGCTTAATGTCACTCTTCTTCATAGCTCCTGAATTGCCCCACACATTCTAGACACTCAGTAAACACATCTGTATGTGCATGCCTGTGCGTACTGAGCACGGAACCCAGGGTTTCAAATCATGCTAAGCAGGTTGGGTGTGTTGGCACATGAATGTAATCCCAGCAGTCTGGAGGCTGGGGCAGGAGGATTGCAAGTTCAAGCCCAGCCTGGGTAACTTAGCAAGACCCTGTCTAAAAATAAAAATTAAGAGTTGGGAATGTAGCTCAGTGCAAAGGCCCTGGGTTCAATCCCCAGTTCTGCTGGGGGGAAAAAATAAAAAGAAAAGCATGCCAGGCAAGCACTCAACCACTGAGCTTGCCTGTGGCCCCCCGTAAACATGGAACACTGCCCTGCAAGCGCGAGGAGGAACTGCATGCCCCCACGGACACGTCACCTGAGACAGACCCTCCGGCACCAGGTCAGCACTTGGCTCAGGAACATCTGGGTACAGATGATGCAAGAGATTTATTCTGGTTGCCAAGAGTGTGGAGAAGTTGAAAAAGGAAGCAGATCCTGTCCTGAAACCTTCTCTCTCTGCTTTTCCCCCCAAGGAACATGCCTTTGAGAGCAGTCAGAAATATAAGGAAGGAAAGTTTATTATTGAGCTTGCCCACATGATCAAAGACAATGGTTGGGAGTAAAGTGGAAATGTTCCATTCTCTTTCGAATACTGTTTTGTGAAAGAGACTCTGAATGTAATGGAGACATAGAGCGTCCTGGATGGCAGTATTTCTTGAACTTAACCTCGCAGGCTAGCCGTGCCGCGACCCTCGGAGGCCTCTCTGGGCCATCTCTGTGGGTAAGGTGTCCCCATCTGTGTCCTTTTCATGTATACGGTTGTTGCTGGAAGTTTGCAGTGTTCTTTTTTTCAGTGTTCTCAAGTTCTAGGGAACAAATTAACCAACTGACAACTTACCTGGTGAGTTAGCTCCTCTCTTACCCCGCCCCCTGCGTCGTGTGGCCCGCCTTCGGTCCGTAGCAGACCAGGTCTCAGACCAGAGACAGGAGACAGGCCTCCTTCAGCACCAAGTGTCACATCACTTTTTTTTTTTTAAGAGGAAAGTACTACAGTTTTTCCCCTAATTCTTGAAACTACACATTGGCTATTCCTCCTACAGACGAACTGTGAAGACACAGTATCCATTTAAGAATCTTTCAGAAGCAGTCAACAAATTTATACACGAAGGACATTGTTTTCTAAGCCTGTTGAAAAACAGAGACCACCACTGGTAGCATTTTAGATAAGTTATAAATAGAGAAGTGTGTTAACAAACGTCTTATTTATGGAAGCCATGATCTAGAAAGCAAGCGAACTAGACCCTAGAGAAGACCATCCGGGGCCTGCAGGGGCCATCACTGAGGCGACAGCCTCCTAGATGTGTTCCTGGGGTTGTGCCCTTGGTGCTGACAGACGCTCACGTGTCCACGTTGCTGAGTGGCAGGTCCATGATGTTAGAGAATAGCACTCTGGACCAGGTGTAAGTCCTGGATGTACTTGAAGAAAAAGAGTTGTTTTTTGCCTATGAAAGAGGCCAGAACCAGCAGGAAAAAAACTCAGAACTTGAGATCTACCATATCGTTTTAAATTTTTTCAGAAAAGGTCAAAGTTTCAAAGCAGGGTTCAATGCTGTAAAGAAGACATTTGGTCTGCTGCGGGAAGCACGCACCGTACCTGCCTGTCAGGTGGCCCGACACAGAGGAGCCTGCCTGTGCAGTCCGAAAGGCCTGCGTTTCTGTTGTGGACTTAAAGTCATGGCCTGCTATCCTCCTGGGCTTCTGCAGGCCAACCGGCAGAGAATGGAGGCCAGAAACCATTCCCAATGAAGTTTTGGTTTTTCATACTGTGCACCAACTCAGGGCAGAGGGACCGGAAAGGGGCTGGGGGAGGTGGAGGGACAGGATGGCCCCAGCCTGGCGGACAGCTAACACTGCACTGGACAAGGCTGGTCTAGCGGCAGCGAAAGCAAGCTGGCTGAGGATCAGGAAGTAACTTCCCATTCAGTCTGAGCTCCTTGTCCCCAGCTGCAGCCCACAAGCTGTGGCCACTGTAGGCGCTCAGCTGCCCCCGGGCTCCAACCCACTGCTCACCCCAAGCTCCCCTTTTGGTGCCAGCCCTTTGCCCAAGACTGTAAGCTGGGAAGGGCGGGGGGTCACCATCGCCTTGGGCCCAGTGGCCTGGCGAGCATGGCATGGGGACGCAGCAGCTCAGCAGGAGCAACAGTGGCAGGTTACTTTAAGCACATCCTCACCTTAGAGGACATCTTGGCATGGCCTGTAAGCCTCTATCCCTGGCGGTGGTCCAGCAGGCTTTCTCCCAGAGCCGGTTCCCTGCAGGCATACTGGCCTGACTGTCGCCATAGTCCTAAATTAGCATATGGCTTCCTACCCAAGGTGTCCCAGCACAAGGAATCGCTCCAGCCAGTGGTGTCCCTGCCGCCATGCTCTGCAATCTGAAGACAGCTCCTTCATTCCACTGGCTGAAGCGGGAAGGTGAAAAGAGCTTCCTGAGCAAGGAGCAAGCACTGGTCAGTGAGAGCTGGCTGAGAGTGACGCTCCCTTCCCTCGATGGGGAGCTTGGGCCACAGCCTCAGAGGACCAAGGGAAACGGGGGTCGGGGGTGCTGATGGCATCGCCAGCCTGCCAGGGTGTAAGGGCAGTCTGAGCAGCCTCCGCAGATGCTTTACTGAAGTTGAAGAACAGATTTTGCAGAGCTCCTCCAACCAGTTTTGTATATATAGAGAGATTATGTTTAAAGCTTTTGTACGTTCTGGGCGAGTTTATTGCGCCTTCCTTCGAGCACTTTGGTTTTCCTGTTGTCTTTTGCGATGGCGCAGATGGAAAACTTTTTACTGGTGTTCTTAGGACTTGTTACGTACTTTGCTTCTGCAAAATACAAGCTCCTTTTTAAACCAAATGAACTGACCATGAGCTGGCTTCAGGGGAAGTGACGCAACTAACCAGACGTGCTGGTGAAGTGCTGGAATGCCATTCCACACTCTTCAATTCCCAAACAATAAATATCCTGTGACTTTTATTTAAATTATTTAAAGTATTTCCTTGAAAACAGTGGGAAGTAACGCTGGGGTTATGAATGCATTTGTAGCACCCTCTGGTGCAGTGCATTGCTTTAGAAATGTAGCTCTTTGTTGTTGTTTTATATATAAACGCAGTATTTTTATACCTTGATATTTATTGATGGCATCTGTCAGATATTTGAAAGGATCAGAAATGAGATTCCCCCCACCCCAAGTCCTTTATTTTACCTGATGACCATATCAGGGAATTATAAAATTCTTGTGGTTTTCATATCTAGAAAGCTCTAAAATGAACTACAAAAATGTCAGCCAGCCTCTGTGAAAGGCCTGAAGGGCGAGAGCGAGGGCAGGGCCCGGGCCTCGCCTCCTCGCCCTCGAGGCAGGCGCAGGCGCTGGTGAGGCTGCTTGGGTGGGTTAGCAGCCTGGAGGCAGCTGGAAACCCCACCCTGAGGGCGGACCGCCTCGCTCAAGCACACACCCCGCCTCAGCCTGTCCTTCCCCACCGGCCGTGCAGCCAGCCTTGGTCTTCTGTCCATGTGAGGTTTATAAATAAAGCTTCCTATGTCAGACTTCTTGGCTGCTTGCTGATCACTGTGGGGAGGCTGCTCCTTCATGTGAAGGGATGGGCCCGGCTTCCTGCAGCGCCCACATCAGGTCTCAGAGCTGCTCCAGGGACTGAGGGTTGCCAGGGTCCCGTTTCTGTCATCACCAGGTCGGCGGCTTTTCAACATGGCCAGGAAGAGCGTAAGGATATGATTAGGGTGACCATGGAGAGCGGCCGCACCCCTACCCCGCAGGTGGCAGGTGTCTGTTCAGTCCCAGTTGCTCCCAGTGCACCCCTCCCTGCCCCAAGGCCTCTGCCCCCACCCACACCTGAGCTCCCCAGTGCAGGCTCAGTGGCCTATAGGTTTATGTCCACCTGGTCAACCCCGGAGCCTCAGAGCCCTCCCCACTTCTTGCAGATGTGTGGTATCGGCCCACAGCCACGGGCTGACGGGGAGGATCCGAGGAGGGGAGCCTGGCGGCACACATACAGGGGTGTGGGGAAGGAGCCTGGAAGGTCACTGTGGAGCTTGGGGCCCCTGACCAATGGGCAGGAGTGGCTGTAGAGGGACAGGCTAGAGAAGGGGCGTGGCCTGGGGGAGCCACAGACCTTATTCTTAGCACAAGGAAAGCCAGTGACTGGAATAAAGCCTGGTGACAGTGGGAAAACGTGCCTTGTGAAGGTCACTCAGCAGCAGTATAAAGTGGCTGGGGGCAGGGTGCACAGTGACGGGGGCGGATGCTGCCTCCTGGACAGGGCTCAGGCCTGCGGTTTCAGCATCAGAGGAAGATACGCAGGACCAGGTGCACTGTAGAACTAAGAGCTGTCAGGAATTGCTACCGGTTCAAGGTTGTAGGTGCGGAAAGAATGAAAAGAATGAAGCCCAAGTTAGAATTTGGGGGAAGTGGGCAGTGGCCCAAGGATGAGAAGGAGCCCAGGACAGGCTGGGGATGGTCAGGAAACACTGACCCCGTGACACTGTCCCGAAGGGGGAGGCTCCCCAGCAGGCTGAGGTAGCGGGGCCTGAGAGCAGGAAAAGGGAGGCCAGGCGGAAGCATGAATCTCTTGGACACAGGTCACAGAGGAATAAGGGTCAAGGGAGGAATCAAGGGACCCTGATACAGCTGGCCGGGGAGCCAGAGGGGTTGGTGACTGGGATGGGTCTAAGCACCAAGGTCATCTCCCCAGCTAGGGACAGTCTGCTCGTCGTCACAGCAGGCCGCTGTCAGCCTCATCCAAGAGTGACCCAACCCAGGGACCAAGCGTACAGAGTGGGGTCCCCAGTCCCAAGGCAGGAGCAGCAGAAAAGGTGTGTGAAAGTACCGCCAATGCTCCAGTCTGGGTCGAAAACCTCCCTGGGTTTGCCACAACGGGTTGGGAAGCCCCGGTTTCCAGCAGCTCAGGGTCAGGTCTGGGCCCTGAGAGCGTGTTTCTAACTGGCCAGCCTGAGTTGTCCCTGGGGAGATGATGAAAGGAGCATGGAAACCAGAGCAGGGACCCTAGGCCAGGCCTGCCCCGAAGAGGTCCCAACCCCAGGCTGCCCCAAGCCTTGGCACCAGCAGAGGGGCAAGGAGGCTGGGGGCTGAGAAAGAGCAGCTAGGTAGCAGGCAAGAGTCTGCCTGGGTCACAGCCTGAGAGGCAGCTCACAGGGCAGAAAGCTCAGCGCTGTGGACGCAGACCCCCAGCCCTGACTCCTACCGGGATCCCAGGAGTCAGTGTGGGCCGCCTGCTGCTACCAGGAGCTGAAGTCCCCAAAACCGCAACTGGGCTTTTTCTTGGCTACAGGGGCAGCTGTACTGGTTGATGGTTCTTCCTCTGCCGCACGTTTCCTGCGAAAAGAACCAGGTTCCAGCTGCCACACAGGTGCCAGGCCTCCAGCTGAGCTGAGGGCCTGCGCTGCTACCCTCCAACCCCCCCAGTCCCCTCAAGGTGGCTCGGCGTCCGCACATGGCCCTCCTCTGAGGCTGCCCTAATACTATGCTTCACCCTCATCCCCTGGTCCCGATGGCCTCGGGCTGCACAGAGGCCCTGGCCAACCTGCACAGAGCAGGTCCCTCTGGCTGGGGTGGCCCCAGCACACAAGGTTAGTCTGAGCCTGGCCCCCGAGGTTTCTTCACCCACTGCACCCCACTCACGTGGCTGCTGGGTTGATGTACTTGCCCACTCCCTGGCGGTATGTCTGGGGGCCCTGGCTCCCAGGCGGGGGCTGGTTGGTTTTCGTCTTGGTCTCTGGGGTCACTTCAAGCTTTGTCTTCCGCTCCTGAGCAATCTGGAAAGGAGCAGGGCTGTGGCCGACCTGGCACACATGGGAGTGCGGGGTCCTCCCAGCCCAGCGGGAAGGACAGCTTGCCGCAGCCTTCCCCGAGGCACGCTGCACCCACCTCACCTGGGCATCGGCCTCCTCGTAGGGGTCCACGAACACTGTGGTGGCATCGATGCGGACATCCTCCTGGAGGCAGGGGGCCGAGTGAGCAAGCAGTGCGTCCCCGTCCTCCCAACCCCTACTCGGCACATACCTTAGGGCGGTCCGTCTTGGGGTCGCTCTCCACATTCTCCATGGCTGTCAGTGTGTCGAAGCCCCCAACAACCCTGCAGCAGAGGGACAGAGGGTCTGCACTGCCCTGTGGCCCCCCTACAGCGAAGCTCCCAAGGCATGCCAGGACAGGGACTGGGCCAAGGTGAGGGGCCCATGAAGTTGCCACAGGCCCCGTTGGCCTGATAGGGCAGCAGCCGGGGCAAGGGCTGGAGGAGAGAAGGTGTGGTCAGAAGGCAAGGCCTGGCCACACGCAGCTCTCCGTTATGTGGACAGAAGCACCCTGCTGCTCCCATATCGTCCCGGTTTTTTGCTGCGACCCCAGAGTCAAGTGCTCGCTACAGAGACTGTGGCTGAAATTACCATCCGGGCCTTTAATAAGAAAGTCTGCCGCTGTCCCGCCTGCAGCACAAAGAAGAAGACAGGACACGGCCCAGACTTCTGATCTGGGCATCAACCAAAGGCTGCCTAGACAGGGAGGGCAGAGGGTTTGGGCTAAGGCAGCTCAACAGGCTGGGCCCGGGCCTCGTCTCCTTAGTCCCTCAGGGCTGGCCTCAACTTTCCCCACCCCGAAACACCCAAGTTCCCTCTGTGTAGCCCTCAGCAGCGACATTTGCAGGGTGCAACGAGCACAGTCCCAGTGAGAGCTCCCAGCTGCGGGGAGGACGTGGTCAGCTGTGTACCACCCCAGAATTCTCACAGCGGCCGCCCTCACCGTCCAAAGATGGTGTGCTTCTTGTCCAGGTATGCACAGGAACGGAAGGTGATGAAGCTGGGAAGGAGGACAGGGGGTCAGGGTCCGCTGTGAGCTTCCCGCCCACCCGCCTTTGCTGGTGACCACTGGGGCCACAGTGGGAATCCACTGGCCTTGAGGACCCCTCCAGGAACCTGCAGCTTCCATGCATACCTTGCATACCCGACTCCCACCCACTCCTGTCCAGACAAGACTGTTAGAGGGGCCACCAACGTAACCCCAGACCACCAGCAAGGCAGGAGAAAGCCCAGAGCTCCCACGCCCTGGACACTGCCAACCTCCCGCGAGCAGGCGCTGTGCCCCTCCTGAGCTCGCCCAAGCAGCTGCTTCAGGAAGGCAGCTGGGACAGGGGCCAGAGCCCAGCCACGTCACGACATCTGCTGAAGGGCCAAGGACAGCAGAACAGGAGAAAGGAAGCAACAGAGCGAGAGCACGAGCAAAGGAACTGGGAAAGAAATACACAGACCCGGGATGTGACCCCATCAGATTCGGCACGAAGACAAGGCAGACTTCAAGTGCGCAACAAGGCTGGTATGCAAGGTGGCTGCGGGGGCTGGAAAGTCCTCCACATCTCCTTTCTTGGGAAACGTGGAGACATCACCTAGCGGCTTTCCACTCGAATAGACTTCTTTAGTCCAGACACAAATTGAGCTTCCAAATGAGGAAAAAGACAAGAGCAACGAAAAGAGATACAAAAAAAGGGTGATTCAGAAGCATAAAGGAAGATCCTAGAAAGCAGAGTACCCATCAGAAGCGAAGTGCACACTGAGGGCTGCCAGGATGAATTACAGGAGGAAAGAATCCAAGCGTGTGCCAGTGTAAGAACACGCTCAGAGTCTGAAAAGCAGAAACTGAAGAGGCAGAAGACATCAGAGAAAAGGAGGAAGGCAAGAAGCGTCATGGGACAGGTTACGGTGCACAAGGCAGGAAGCCACTCCTCAAAGTGTGGCACCGGAGGACAGCACACTCCCCGTCCCCGACAGCCCACAGACCTTGCCAGCCCGTCACTCGCAGTGGGCCTCTGGGCTGCGTCAGACACGCCCTGCTCAGCCGGGCAGGGGCTCTCCTGAGCCCATTAGGATGACTGCATGTGAGGTCACCAACCAAGCAAGGCTCAAAGTTGTCTGGCCCACAACTGTGTAGATCTCGACTCCTAGCTCTTTCTCTCTCTTGCTAATTTCTAACACAGTTTAGGAGGCTAGAAAGAGTAAAATAAGCCAGAAGAAAACAAGGAGGCCAGACATGGTGGGGCACACCTGTGATCCCAGCAGTTGGGAGGCTGAGGCAGAGGATCACCAGGATTTGGAGGCCAGCCTGGGCCATTTACTGAGTTCAGGCTAGCCTATGAACTACAGGGCAAGAGCCTGTCTCAAAAACAAAACCAAACACAAAACAGAAAAGTTAAAGAATAACAAAGGGAAAAACCAAAATGTAACAAATAAAGTCAAGTTCCTTGAGAAAATTAGAACTTTGTAAAAGTTGTCACCTTTGCAACTTTACAAAAGGTGTCAGAGAAGGGACCAAAAAAAAAAATCAGAAATAAAGAGAAGGCCATTGACCCACTAGCAGTTTCACAGGCTACTTAAGGAAAAGAGAAATATATAACTAAAAAAAAAAAAAGTGATCCTCCTCCTTATACTCAAACAATAACAGAAACAAATCATATATTCAACTTACTAGGAAATAAAGAGATGGCCCTGGAAAAACTTGGCTAAAAGGAAATTATAAGAACTACTCGGGCTGGGCGTGGTGGCGCACGCCTATAATCCCAGTACTCAGGAGGCTGAGGCAGGAGGATCATTGCAAGTTCAAGGCCAGCCTTGGCTACAAAGTGAGCTCAAGGACAGTCTGAACTGCATAGCGAGACCCTGCCTCAAAACACAACAACTAACTACTCACAGCTGGCAAGCCCTGAATGGGAAGTGTACACCCTTAAAATGTGCAAGACAGGCGTGTAGAGCACAGCACGTGGCCCTGGGTTCCACCCCTGGTGTACGCACACACAAACCAAAAAGACACATCCAAAAGGAAGGTCAAGCTGCATTCTTCAGTGATGCGTAAGTGCTGTTATCCACTTACTCTTCCAAAATACAAGTGTCTACTCCTCCCAACATGGCCAGGCTTCCACAGGCCCTGTCGGCCCTCCCCTGGCCACCTGTCCCATCGGCCTCCCACCCAGCACATGGCCCAGCACATGAGGCCATCATGGCATGCCTCCTGGCCACACACTTGCACAGTCCTGGTCCCACCAGCTGCGCTTCCAAGAGGCCTCTCAGGCTGGCTGCCCCTCTCGAGGGCACCCAACACCATGCAGTGCTGCCTGCTGACTGGCACAGGGGCTCCCTTTCTGCACAAAGGAGCACCCCGCGGCCTGGGGGTGCTGCATGGTCTGGTGACTCGGGCCTGGTGTAACTTTAGGGAGTATTCAGAGAAGGAGCCTGCAGGCAACTTCAGGGCCCTTCCCAGGCCACCCCACAACAGCCGGGCAGACACAAGTGGGCTGAGACTCACAACTGGGACTTGTTGGTGTTGGGCCCTGAGTTGGCCATGCTGAGGATGCCTCGGCCCGTGTGTGAGAGGTTGGGCCGGAACTCATCTTTGAAGGGCTTTCCCCAGTACGACTCCCCGCCTGGAACAGAAAGGAGCACGGGGGCTGTTGCAGGCACCCAGTCTCAAAGGGGCCTCAGGCACTGCTGGGGCAGCAGTTCCAGGGGCCCTGGTCCTCAGGCAGCTCACTGCCAGCCTCCTCCAGGTCCCAGCGTGCACACACCGGCCCTCGTGAGGTCCACCGTGCTGATGTGCGGAGCAGAAAGGCAGTGTGGGAAGGTAGCAGGAGGGACGGCCAGTCCCTCCTCCTGAGCGGGGTGTCCCTGGGGGCCCAGGAGAATGTGATCCCCCCACCTGTCACCAAGGCCTCATAACCACCTCAGAACGGGAAACAAGGTCGTGCCTAAGGTGGCACCAAGCGCCCTGAGGCTCAGGAGCAATTCTGGCTCGTCTAGCAGACTCACATCCAGGGCTCTCCCACCCGCCTGTCCCCTTGGACCCACTGAGCAGCCAAAGGGGTCAGGGACGGACTCAGTCTCGGACCTACCTGTGCCTGTGCCCGTAGGGTCCCCGCCTTGGATCTGCAAGGAGAACAAAAGCCAGTGAGCAAGGCATCCTGAAGCCACCTGCTGCCAGCTGCTGCCCTCCTGCCTGTGAGCATGCCCCTGCCAGGCAGGCTCACCACTCCTGTGAGGACGAGGGGCCTCAAAAGCCCAGCTGCACCTGGGCTGGGACTCCAGGCCCAGGCTGCGGGTCCCCAGCAGGATTCATCTACAGGACACACACCAGCCACCTCAGCCTGGCCAGGGTGCCAGAGGCAGGACAGACACAACCCCCTTGCTCACACACACACTCGCAGGCTTGTCCACTCACCACAAAGTTCCTGATAGATCTATGAAAGACGGTGCCATCATAATAGTGCTTCTTGCAGAGCTTGATGAAGTTTTCACAGGTTTTCGGTGTCTGCAAAATAGCCCAGTGCTTCTGTGACTCACAGAGCAGCCAACAACGGGCACAAAAGCCCACAGAGCCTTTATCACACAGTAAGGATGAGTGGCTGCTGGTCTGGGAGCAAAGACCCCGGAAGCTAAGTGACAGGGTACCTGTGGCTGTGTGACCCATGGCAGAACAGAGGTGGAACTGGGGCCCTTGCCCAGGTACATGCACGGCACACCCACCCAGCACAGGCGGAAGAGACGTGCTCGAGGTGACGCGGCCCCAGGAAGGAAGTCAGGGCACGTCAGCTTCCTCTTGCGGACAGGCTGGAGTTTTCTACAAGCAAATACTAACTGCAGCTCCATACTTAAGACCTGGGAGTTGAATGACCCGAAAAGGACTGCGTGGTGGCTGGGGAGCAGTGGTCACACCCACCAGGTCGCAGTGCAGCTCCAGATTGAGGTCACCCTTGTTGGTGTGCAGCCGCACATAGCCCTTCTTCTTCACGAACTGGTAACGCAGCACGTCCTCGTCGATGGCCGCTGCGAAGACAGCCTCGAGCTCCACGCCTGCCCTTGACCCGGGGTGGCCCCGCTACCTGGGCTCCACAGCATCTGACACATTACGGCAGGGCAGGGGCAGCTCCGCAGAGAGCTCGAGAGACCCAAGCCAAGCATCTGCCCTGACTATGAGCAGACTCGCTGGGCAACTGGAGCTGGGGCTACCAGGGCCCCACAGGCCTACAGCAACTACAAGGGGGTACGGGAGCACGTGGCCGAGCACATGGGAGGACACAGGAGGTCCATGCCAAGGGCAGGCCTGAGGGGCCAGGCGGCATGGTGAGGAGAGCACCACCTGGCCAGGCCTGGTGCTCATACAGCGTCTCCCAACACCGAAGCCACCTCCACAGGCCACTCTTCCCGACGCTGAGCCCCACCCCTGACACGAGATGCTGACCTGCAGGAACTACCTGGGTCCCCAGAAAGGCAGGCAGGGAGGAGGCCCATCACCACCACTGTGAACCCAGACCCTAGGAGCCAACAGGAGAGGCAGGGAAGCTACCTGCTTCATGGGTGGTCTCTGGCACCATGGCAGTAGAGGTGAAGGACGCACTGACCTTCCCCGTGGAGTAGTGAGCCTGGCAGAAACACAGTGTTGTTCAGCCCTGCCCGGAGTCCCAGCCGCAAGACGGCCCACCCACGCCGCCCCACCTTCTAGGCCTGCGCCTGGGAGCCAGCAAGGACCAGAGGATGAGGGGTACCATCATAGCAGTCAGGGGTCGGGGGTGCAGGCCAGGGAAGTGAGTATGGCCTGGGTGGGAGGCAGGGGCCCATGTTAAATCAAACCCTGGGAACAGCACACCACACAGGACTAGTCTTCTGTAAGGACAAGGGTACAAGGGAGGACTTATTTCTTCCTAAAGGTTCCTTTTTTATCCCTCTTTTTGAGACAGGGTCTCACTATGCAGTTCAGGCTGGCCTTTGTAGTCCAGGCTGGCCTCAAACTCGAAACGATCCTCCTGCCTCAGCCTCCTGAGTGCTGGGATTATAGGCATGCCTTACCACGCCCGGCTCCCTAAAGGTTTCAAGTTTGTCTTTTTTCTTTTTTGAGACAAAGTCTCTCTATGTAGTCCAGGCTGGCCTTAAATTCACTAGGTAGCTTAGGCTGGCCTCAAACTCACAGCGATCTTCCTGCCTCAGCCTCCTGAGTGCTAGGATTACAGGTGTAAGCCACCATGCCTGGCTCAAATTTTTCTACAGTAAACACATGATTGCTTTAGCCAGGAAAATAAAAGTCCTCATAAATGTCACTTTTCTTCTCTAGAAAAAAAAAAGGGAGGGAGGTACTTGCCCTATAAGAAAGAAAAACACCAAATTGCTACCAGTGACTGTTCTGGGGGCAATTATGGACAACACACTCGTTTTAATTTTCCAAATTTTCCTGAATAATTCCCCATGGGGGAGAACCTGAGAATTGCTCCCCCTGGCCTCTGTCCTTCCCACAGCTCTGGTTCACAAGGGAGGGAGAGCAGATCCAGGCTGATGGGCCAGGCACAAATCCAGCACCACCACTGCTGATGGGCCTTGGGGAGACAAGGACATGATGGCCCCAGACACCTCAGCAGTCCCTCCGTCTCCTGGCTTTGCCCAGGACGCCCACAGGCCTGCCTCCCTGCCCCCACAGACCTGCATGTCTGGGGCTGCTGTCCTGAGGTATAAAAGCCGCCTCCAGAACCCCTAGAACTAGCAGGCAGCTGCCACCCACGCTGAAGCAGGGACTGGACACAGGGCATGGACGTGCGTCTGGCCCCATACCTTCCCCAAACCCAGCCGTATTGGCAGCCCTGGAGATCTGGACATCCAGGGTCCCGGGGCACCACAGCTCTGGGGGGTCCCACCGCTTCCTCCAGTGTATTCCCGGCCCCATGAGCCCCTTCCCCAGGACCACTTCACAGGGCTCAGAGGCAGGAGATGGGCCGCCCACTCACAGCGTTCAGCTGGTCCACTTTCTTCTTCTCGGGGGCCTTCATGGTGGCTGCCAGAATCTCATCCCCTTTGAACTCCTTGTAGAGCTCCTGCAGGGTCTCTCGGGTTTCAGTGTTTGTGTTCTTCAGATAGTAAGATGGGTCCTGCTTGGCCTTTTCCTCGTCTACAAAACAGCACAGAGGCCCTGAGCCGCTGAAACCAGCACAGGCCACGGGTGGGCCGGGGACAAAGCCAGAGCGGGCCACAGCAGCATAAGCTGCAGGCAGGCTTGTGACAGTCCCATGCTGTTGCCCTGGGCCGTGCCAGCGCTGGCGGGCACAGCAAGGCCGGGCACCCAGGGCTCTCCTTCCTGCACTTAAATGGGAGTCTTGGGGTAGAGGATGGGGGCTCAGGGACAGCTCTAGTTCCTGTCTACTTATCTATATATTCCAAGCCTTTAACAGTGTATATTTTGCTCTTATATTTTTAAAAGTGATCCTTACTTAAAGTGACAGAAGTGCCGAGTCTCTCCAGAAGTGAAAAGTCCCATCTACACCCCTACAGGAGGGCTACAGTTCAGCTGTATGGGGTCAGCATTCTGGGCCCCAGACCCTCTGGGTCTCTTGAGCTCAGATCTACCCGGACCATGTGCTCAGGCCCCTGAACTCTAAGTGGTTTATGCAGTGCTCGTCACTGAGCACCTGGACGCTGTCCTTCGCAGCCTGAGGCCAACTCATCTCTGGCCATGAGTCTTACGGAAGCACAGGGACCAAGGACCCAGCCATCCACCCGGTATCACCCACAGCCTCCACCCCAGTGACACCTCCGTCAGTGTCCTCTGGTCACTGCAACCCCAACTGCAATCTGGGGAAGACAGAGCCCCCAAGGCTGAGGAAAAGTGGGGGGACGTCCTGGCAGGGTGGCAAGTCTGGCCTGCTGGTGTTTCCATGGCCGTGGTCAGCTGCTTCTCTGAAGTCAGACATGGCACTGATTTGGGAAATAGGGAACCGACCTGGACTGAAGCCAGACGCGTGGGGGCCCTGGCCCTAGGAAGGCGGAGCTTTGCCCGAGGAGCACTGCCCTACTCCGCCCAGAGTAGCCCCTGGTTGTACACACCTGGGTCTATTATTTTCATGTTATTCTTAACGTGGAAGAAGTTGGAGACATTGAACTTGTCCAAATTGGTGGGGTCCTGCAGCAAAAAGAGAACGCCCAGCACAGTGAATCCAGGGCTGAGGCCGAGTGGCTGCCACAGGCAACGTGGGGTGGGCAGGCGCCCACATGGGAAGAAGCTGGCTCCTAGCCATGGACAGGGCACAAGTAGGGGTGGGTGGGGACAGGGCAGAGGCTGGCTAGCTGGTCACCAAACTGCATCCCCCTCGCCCACAAATAAGGCATCACTTGGTGGTAGGCAGCCACAGGATGGCCTGGGCAGCCACAGGGATAAATTCTGATCAGAATGAGACAAGCCAGAGGGGAACCAGACACGCCTGCCGCCCTGCCCCAGCGTCAGTCCCACCGAGGCTACCTCGGCTTTTCTATGTAGAGTTCTCATCCGCTCACTCAGAGCTGACACCTACAAGGACTCTGTCCCTGAAGTGGCAGGAGGAGAGCCAGCTCGCAGGGTGGCCATGCCACTCTGATGCCTCTGTTCTGGGGCAGCCCAGAACAGGGAAACCGGTCAAGGCCCAGGAGAACGCCAAGGGAAGGAGGCACAGGTGCTGGGTGGCTATGGAACTACACGTGGGCAGACTCACAGGAGGAGATCACGGAGCAGAGACAGCTGGGCGGCGGGCAGGGGGCTGAAACTCACCTGGAGGGTGATGATGTCCTGCCGAGAGAAGGGCTCATCGGTCAGCAGGTCCCGGAAGTTCTTGGCCTTGATGTTTAACTGCTCCACTGCCTAGGCCAGGAGAGAGCAGGCATGACGGAGTCTGCCAGAGGCCCTGGCCCGACAGCAGCACCATGGAGGAGGGAGAGCAGGGACAGAGATGACCTAACCATGTAACTGCCACGGTGCCTCCATGTCTAGGGAAGGGCAGGGATGGCTGTGCCCAGACAGTGACCTGAACCCAGCCTGCTCGTGGGAGGATCCAGGTACATCTTACAGGGTAGCCAACAGGCTCGGTGAAGCCACTTCCCACTGGCTCCAACATCCACTGAGCACCACCACGCATGCGCCAGGCCCAGAGCCAGGCCCGGAGCCAAGCACTCAGTGAACAAGCACACAGACGCGTGCTCTCATGGGGCACACAGTTTAGATGCACTCTGCTGGAGCCGGGCGTGGTGGCACATGCCTGTAATCCCAGCACTCGGGAAGCTGAGGCAGGAGGATTGCTGCAAGTTTGAGGCCAGCCTGGGCTACAAAGTGAGCTCAAGGCCAGCCTGAACTGCATAGAGAGATCCTATCTCAAAATGAAAAAAAAAAAAAGAAAAAAAAAAAAAAGAAAAAAAAAAAAAAAAAAAAAAAAAAAAAAAAAAAAAAAAAAAAAAAAAAAAAAAAAAAAAAAAAAACCTCTGCTCGAGCGGTGTGCTTCAGGCAAGAAGGAGCCAAACAGCCCTGGGCAGCACTGGCCACCTCAACCCTGCCAATGTCCAAGTGAGGAAGGAAACGGGCACAAACCTGCTCTGCAGTGGGGGCTGCTCCCAGCCTCTGTGCTGAGCAGCAGGACCCAGGCAGAAGCTGCCCGCTCCCATGCGTACACCACGCGCTGCAGGAGCTGCACCCCAGCCTGGCACTGCTGCTGTGTGGCGACAGCTCCCTCCCGGGAGCCCTGCCGCCCAGCCCACAGGGCTCAACCCTCCCCAGGGCCTGGACTCTGAGGGCCCCTCCTCAAGCCAGAACTGCCAGGATTTCAGGTCTGCAGGCCACAGGAAGCACCCTGTCTGGAAGAAGGAAGGTGCCCAGCCAGAGCTCAGCAGGATGCCCTATGCTGGTTGGTGACTGTGACTCTAAGTCCCACAAGGCCAGGTCGAGACTGCTGTGCCCAGCTTACCCCAGCACAGCCAGACCGACAGAAAATCCCCAAAGCACATACCCCAGAGCCTGGCGCCACGCTGTCTCACAGCCCCGCAGCAAGGACCCACCTCATAGGCGTAGACATTGCCGGTCGTCTTGATGGCCACGATGTGGGTGTTGTTGGTGAACACGGTGAACAGCACCGGGCAGTGGAACTTCCCTAGAGAGAAGGTGCACACAGGGAGCCAGTCACCCTCACGGGCTTTGATGATCCAACAAAGACCACCGGGGGCCAAGGTGGGAAAGAACTTGGGCAGAAGGTCACAGAAGGAAGAACGCAGCAGCCCAGGCCAGCTGCCCAGAGCTGGAAACAGAGGGAAAGCAGCTGCTCAAGCCATTAAGAAACCCCTATTCATCCTGCAAGACCCAACCTTGGCCAGGAGTGATGTCACACATCTGTAATGCCAGCACGCAGGAGGCTGAGGCAGGAGGATCATTGTGAGTTTGAAGCCAGCCTGGGCTACACAGTGAATTCAAGTCCAGCCTGGAGTACATGTTGAGACCCTGTCTCAAGAAAATTAAAAAAAAAAAGAAAAAAAAAGACCCAAGCCCCTCTTCCCCTTAGAAGCACAGGCTCTAAGACTACTGTGTCAACCTCTTCCTCCTCTTGAAGCCAGCCCCCAGCAGGAAACAGTCTGTCTCCCCAGGAAAAAGCGCCCCTTCCCAGGGACCCAGCCTCAACTGCTTTCTCCCCTCGCGCCCACAGCACCCACCAGCTACCCTATCTCCTGGCCTCCTGCACCCCTCACCTCAGTGACTGCGGCAAACCTTGCACAGGATTTCCTGTCCTGATAATCACCTACCCAGTAGCTAGGAGCCCTGATAAGCCCCCAAAAATAACTTAGAGAAAAAACTAAAATACAGGTGTCACCCACAACATCTGGGCAGACTCCTTTTAAACCTGATCTGAAAACTACAAAAAATAATAATTAGGGAACTACGGAAATCTGCCCGCTGAGTGCATATCTGATGTGCATATCTGATGAGACTGAAGAACCCCTGTTCATTTCTGACATGTCATAATGCTGCTGCGGTGATGTGCACACTGATCTTTAGTTCTGCAAAGTGGAGGATTTCATCAGGGAAACGACACCAAGTCTGGAATTTGCTTCAACATCACCCAGGAAGTGTCGAGTGGGAGCCCAGATGAACCAGACGGGCCACAGCTGATGGGCCTGAGGCTGCTGATGGATCAGGGATGCTGCTCATGCTACTAATCCTACTTTCCTGTGTCTGAAATTTCCAACTAAAAATAAAACAGGCTCGGGTTTTAGCCCAATTGGAGGGCACTTGCCTACTGTGTACAAGGCCCTGGCTTTAGTCCCCAGCACCAGAAACGACGGAAGCTGGACCATGTCTCTCTGGGAGTGGTTTCCATCTCAGGACTCGGGCCTCCTGCACCCTCCCAGGCCCAGCAAGGCCGCTCTGCCTCCTGACCTCACCCCGGCTTCTCAGGTCACATCCACATCCACATCACACACTACAAACACGTATAACAACCTAAACCAGGGCATCCGTGCAGCAAAAGGAGGCCTGGGCCAGGGCCACAGAGAACTTCCAGCAAGAGCAACCCCTGGTCCAGGGCCTCTGCTCAGACATCTAAGACAGGAGGGAGGGCAGGAACATACAGTAGGAGGCCCCAAGCCAAGCCGGGGCCCCAGGAGCAGTGGTGATGAGAAGCCCAGCTGCCAGCTGCCCAGAAATCCCTCCAGGATGCCACACCCACGGCTCGGCCACCACCCCGGGACTCAGCCTGAGCAGCCTCTGCTTCCAGTAATGAATGGACCACAGCCTTAGCCAGATGAGGCCTGTGCTCCACAGGGCCCGACCATGAAGGCCAACAGCAGCTCACAATGGCTTGACTGCCTCTGCCGAGAAGTGGTTCCATCCCCACCTCCCCCAGCTTAAAACAACCTCAGCCTTTAAGAAGTCAGGTGACAACTTTTGAAAAATTAAAAGCAAATACAGGGGGTGGGGTTTAGCTCAGCAGCACAGCGCCTGCCTGGCAAGTGCGAGGTCGTGAGTTCGACTCCCGCTACCGGAAAAAACACACACACACACACACACACACAAAAAAAAGCAAATATGTAGCTTGATCGGAGGGAGAGTGAATGAGGGCTAGGCTTAGGGCTCAGTAATGGAGCACATGCTTAGCACGTGTGAAGCTCTCACTTTGATCCTCAGCTCCACAAAAACAGAAAAAGAAAACAATAACTAATTCCATAAAACAATTTGGTAAGAGCAGGGCCTGGTTCCGTGGGAAAATCCTAGAGCCAGCTACAGAAAGCACTCTCACCTTCGCTGTTCTTGGCAAAGTTCAGCTTGATGAGGGATCTCCCATCGAGTTTCTGGAAGACACATAATTACTAATAATGAATAGGGCTCAGGGTATTGTGGTAGAGCACTCATCTAGCATGCACAAGGTCCTAGCTTTAAACCCTAGTAACACACACACACACACACACACACACACACACACACACATAATAATAATAAGTAAGTGATGGGAAGAAAGGTTGAGGCCGAGAAGCCAGCTGAAACAGGCCAAATGGAAACGTTTCTCGCCAGTCAATCCTTTGCAGCTATCAACCAGAGTCTACCTACAGGGACCCCTTTAGTGAGGCCCCAGGACACAGCTAGGACACAGAGGGGCTGCAGAACGTATACCTGGGTGGTAGTGTCCGTGTGACGCCCACATCCAGAAGGCTCTGAGGAGAACCCAGATTTGTAAACGCACAAAGCCGGGTGAGGCTACTGAGTGAGGCTACAGGATAGGGAGTGGTTTTATGTTTCTGCAGTGTCTGACCTTTTATTTTAATTTGGTGCTAGGAACTAAACCCAAGGCCTTTGCATAATAAACACATACTCTACCAGGTCCTTGTCTGAACATCTTTATGGCAAGCACAAATTACTTCTGAAACTAAAAAATGAGTGTATTTCTAATGCTAAGGAGGGTACCCAAGTATTCAGCTTATTCCATTTATGAATACTTTAAAAAATAAAATATTGCTGGGTGTGGTGGTGCATGCCTGTAATCCCAGCACCTGGGAGGCTGAGGCAGGAGGACTGCTGTGAGTTCCAGGCCAGCCTGAACTACAAAGCCAGACTCTATCTCAAAAATAAATAAAGAAAATAAAATATTACGAATGGGGAAAAGACCAGGGGTATAGCTCATCTGCCCTAGATTCATCACCAGAACCACCACCCAATAAAAAGAATATACCTAAATGCTAAGAGTGCAAGAGGAAAGTAAGATCCATTATTTGCCAAAGTTTCTGAAATACATCTTTAGTTCATCGCTTTGATGGGAAAGCTGATGCAATGATAAATGTCCTGGCAGTCAGAGGGGAGAACCCACCTCTCCTGGAAGAAGTATGGCGGGCTGTGCAGTGGACACCCCGGAAGAGGAAGTCAGAGCTGTCCCCATCCCAGCAGCTACTGCCACCCTGGTGGGGCTGGACCTGGCCCTACCCATCCACAGCTCAGGGAAGACATTAGGGGTTTGGGAGCTGGACTGACCTCTGACCCTACAGCTCTCCTAACTGAGCACATCTGCTCCTCTGCCACGGGCTTCATTCCATCCTGTTACTCTTCCACTCACCAGCCTCCACACACAGGGGAGGGTTACACACAGAAGAGGTGGGCCGCTCCCTCCCGGTACGTAACCCAACCAGACAGCCCACACACAACATGCTCTGCCTGGGCCCAAGTGGCGTGTGGCCAGCCAGCCCTCAGCCCAGGGACTTTTTTCAGATTCAGCTGGAAGGGTCTCTGAGGATGCCCACACTGGAGAGGCCACCCACACTGCAAAGAAGCCCGCCCCAGCCCAGGAGCAGAAGAGCGAAGATGGCACAGATGGGCCACCAGCTTCTCCCACCACTCCAGGGAAAGTCACTTATTTATTTACTTATTTATGCAGTGCTAGGAAATGGCCCCCACAGCCTTGTGCACAATGACCAGTGCTCTCCCCACAAAGCTGTTGCTTCTACGTCATACCAGAGCGTGCCTTCAAAAAAGGCCAGGACATGATCCTGTCTGGACTCCCACTATTCCAGAACAAACCCAAGTCCTCTCCAGGACCTTTACGGCCCATACAGCCTCTATCTCCCACCATCTCCCGTCATCCTCCAGTGTCAGCTGAAGGGTGCTCCTCAGACATTCCCAGTCCACCTGAGATCCCCAAGCCTCACTGTCCCTCTCTGCAGCGTCTCAGCGGAACTCCTGGCGCCTGCCAGCCACTGTAGCTGCTGCAGACCTAGCGCAGGCCAAAGGCTAACACCTTGCTGAGTCAACAGGTGCAACTGAATACATGAAGAGATGGGCCCACAGACAGGAGGAGACAGACCTCTGGGAAGTAAAGGGACCAAGCAGAGGACGATTACGATGCAGGAAGACTGTGGGTTAGGATGAACGCACACCGTGGGGTGAGAGAGGAAAATGAGCTGAAATTTTACTTCCTGTGTGGCACAGGATTCATAGCACTGGATCCAGCTGCAGAAAATTTAAGAAGCAGCTTTACCCAACTCACAAAAAATACAAATTGAGCCAAGTGCGGTGGACACCCTTATAATCCCAGCTACTGGAAAAGCTGAAGCAGGAGAAGCTCAAGTTCAAGGCCAGCCTGAGCAACTTACTGAGACTCTGTTTCACACTAAAATACAAGAACATCTGGGGGTACAGGTATAGCTCAGTGGTACAGTGCCTGGCTAGCACACCCTGGGTTCACTCCTCAATAACAATTAATAAATAAATTCTTTTTGCCTACAAGTAGCCAAAAAAAAAGACATTACTGGTGTTGCCCAACACAGGAATCCACACATTTCCTTTCACACACTGCTACTGGTGGCTTAAAACAACAGAACAGCATTCTAGCTTGTAGGGCAATTCTGCAGTAGCTATTGAAATTGAAAAGGTACCCACCCTCTGACCTAGCTGTCCTGGCAGGACACTCGTGTGTGTCCCAAAACACATGCACAGAGACATTCCCTGCACCTGTCTGTATGGCCACATGACTTAAAATCCAGGGCAACAACCCAACGGAGGTTACTCACAGCATCGGAGAAAAGGCCATGCTTTCTGCACGAACAGTTTGGGTCTCTGGGACACAAGACAGGGCACAGGAGCAAGGTACAGACCGCACTATGACTGCATGTCTCCCCGGAAAAGGCATACATAGCTGTCCCTCAGCACCCACGGGAGCCCCAGACACCAAAATCAGCACAGGATCCAGTCCCCCATACAAAATGGCACAGGATTTGCCAAGAACCTACACCCACCTTCTTTATACTTTAAAGCAACCCTAGGTGACTTACAATACCTAATACAGCGTCACTCCTCTGTAAAAAGTTGTTACACTGTATCGTTTAGGAAGTACTGGTGAAAGTCTGTGCATGTTTAGTACAGATGGAATTCTTAAAAAATTAATGCCTGGCAGCTGGTTGAATCTGCATGCACAGGACCTGTGGATGGGAAGGCCAACTGTTCACACATGCACAAGCGGACAATTCTGTGAAGGAGTGGGTGCGGGCGGGAAGGGCGGGACTGTTGCTCCTCACTGTCCACTCACTCCCCATCAATGGGTCTCTAGCACCTCAGGCTCCCATGTATGTGAAAACCACAAGGACAACCAAATTTGGTGGTGCATGCCTATAATCCCAGCATCCAGGAGGCTGAGACAGGAGAGTCCTGAGTTTGAGGATAGCCTGGGTTACATGGGAAGTTCCAGGCCAGCCTGACTACAAAAGGAGACTCTGTCTCAAAATAAAAAACGAACAGAACACTAGGACAAAGTAAAGACAGAGGGAGAGTTTGCACCAGCACCACTTAGATGGCAGCAGGGCCACCTACCTCTCCATTGCTGGGATTGGTCCCATACTTCTTAAGCCATGGAACAATGTTCCTGAAGGGAAGAGACAACAGGAAGTGTCAGCGGAAGTGGAGGAGCACCTCAACGGTTGAGACTACGCTTGGCATCCCTGAGGCCCTGGGTTTGATCAAAAAAAACAAACAAAAAATGGGCACAATGCTTCCAAAAATGGCACATGAGGCCAGGTGAGGGGGTGCACGCTTGTAATCTCAGCCCTTGGGAGGCAGAGACAGGAGGATCTCTGAAAGTTTGAGGCCACTCTGGGTTACATAGTGAGGTCAAGGCCAGCCTGGACTACATAGTGAATCCCTCTCAAAAAGACAAAAAGCAAATAGGGGACAGGAAACCTGTGCACCTTCCTTAGGCTCTGCTTTCATGAAGGGAAAGCAAGTTCATTGAGATTCCAACACAGGAGCAGGTATGCCCATCAGGACTTGATGACCCCTATAAGTGATGGGGGGACAGGGGCACTGCCTCCTAAAGCTGTCTGCCTAGGGGTCAGAGCAGCACTGCTGCCATGTTCCTGAGGCCAGGGCCCTTCTTCCTCAGTCACCAAGAGGTCACCGAGAGCTCCTGAGACTTCTGAGACCAGGAGCCTGGGGGCCTTGGCACTGTCTGGATCTGCAAATCTGATGCCCCTTTCCTTAGTGGGTTCACAATCTCTCGAATCAGATCAAAATTCAAGGAAAAACTCACAGCAAGTCAAAGACGACACCTTCAGGAGTACAGACCGGGTAGGCAAAGGGCTGCAGAGAGAGACTGAGAAAGGACAGAGTCATTGCTGGTCAGCTGCCAGGCACAAGGATCAGCTGCAAGCCAGCCAGGCTACCCTTTGTAGCCCTTGTGACACGGCCGTTTGGCTTCTTTCTGTCAATCATTCTTCCAGCAGTCCCAGAGGCTCCTCTGCATGCACTGCGCTCAGCCAGCACCAGAAGCCTCCCTCACACCTCACTCCTCAGCAGCTCTGCAACAAGTTGGTCAGTACGAGGCACCGGTCCCAGGACGAGGCCCAGCAGCCAGGCTGCTCTCACTGCCAATCTAAAGGTCTCAGACCAAACAGGCTGAAAATCTGAAGCTTTTAAAGCATCACATCAATTTTCCAAACAGTAAGAATTCTGAAGCATTTCAGATTTTGGATTTCAGATTAGGGATGGTAACTGGTAAAGCTTATACAAGTATTTCAAAATCCAAAAAGAATCCCAAATCTGAAACAACTCCAGTCCCAAGTTTTCACAAAAGGGACAATCAGCCAGGCATGGTAGTGCACACCTGCATTCCCAGCACTCTGGGAGGCTGAGGCAGGAGGACTGTCACAAGTTTAAGGCTAGCCTAGGCTACAAAGTGAATTCAAGGCCAGTCTGAACTATATAGCAAGACCTTGTCTCCAAAAAAAAAAAAAAGGGGTCGGGGGAGATAGTCAACCTGTACCAGAATATGATCATGGGTGAAATAAAGAACTCTTACCTGCAGTGGTCAAAAGGTAAACGACGAAAATTTGTTTGTGGGACATCTGTTTAAAATTTGAAATAAAAAACAGAAAACTTATTCCGTAAACCATTTCATCTATGAGTACTTACCAACCACTCAATTACATTTTAGAAAAAGTTCATGGGAACTACTCATATAGAAATTGCTACTGATTACTTTTTTTAATTGGTTTTTTGTTTGTTTGTTTACTGGTGTTAGGAATTGAACCCAGGGTCTCGAGCATACTAAACACCCTCTACTAAGCTATATCCCCCAACTCCTGGACTAAAACTCTTTCAATAGATATAACTAAAACACATGGGGTACACCAAAAATGAACTCAGAAGCTGGGTACAGTGGTGCACAACTGTAAGCCCAGCTACTCAAGAGGCTGAGACAGGAAGATTGCAATGAGTTCAAGGGTCAGCCTAACACAGCACATAAGAGCCTATCTCAAAACAAAACAAAACAAAACACAAGAGCTGAGGATGTAGCTCAATGCAAGGCCCTGACAGCAATCTCCAGGACCATTAATTAAAAAGGAAGAAGAAAGCTTAGATGGGCAGGAAACGTACTCAGTGGCAGACTACCTGCCAAGCATTGAACTGGCCCTAGAGATTTGATCCCCAACACACAAAAAATAAAATAAAATAAAAATAGAGGAAAAATTCCAAAAATACCCCCTTTTACTCCCATTAAAATTATGACTCTGGCTAGGCATGGTGGCTCACGCCTGTAACCACAGCACTCGGGAGGCTGAGGCAGGAGGATCATTGCGAGTTCGAGACCAGCCTTGGCTACAAAGTGAGCTTAAGGCCAGCCTGAACTGCAGAGTGAGACCCTGTCTCAAAAGGTCAAAAATAAATAAACAAAATTATGACTGTGCTTTTTTGACCATAGCCCCAATAGCTTTGGATATTACATTCTTTTTATTTTATCTTTTATTAACTTAACCTACCTTCCTTCTTTGTTCCTCCCACTATACTTGTGCTCCACCTTCTTCATTGTAACTTACATTCAAAAATATCTCCAAGAAGCTGGGTGCAGTAGCACATGCCTGTAATCCCAGCATTCTGGAAGGGTGAGGCAAGGATCCCAAATTTAAAGCAAGCCTAGAAAACTTACAAGTACTCTTTCTCAAAACTAATTAATTTATTTTTTGTGGATCTGTTTAGACAGGGTCTTGCTACACAGTTTAGTCTGGCCTTGACCTCACTGTGTAACACAGGCTGGCCTCAAATTCATGGTGATCCTCCTGCCTCAGCCTCCCTAGTGCTGGGATTACAGGCATGCACCACCACACTCGGCCCCTTTCTCAAAAACCAAAAACCAACCCTATAAGATGAAACATGTTCTCCTATCCTGAGACTACTTCCTATCTTATGGACTGTGTCCTCAAGCCTGTTGTCTACTATAATGTCTGTTTCTGTTAACTGTTCATTTTTCCTGCTCACTGTATAATGAGGACATCATTCCTTAAGACCACGCCCATCCTCCACAGAGAACAGACCAATTTTATGCCTTACCTGGCTTTTTGCCACCATAAAAATGAGTATATTCAGCACAGGTAATGTACCTGAAGGAGAAAGGGAAAGAAAGAATGTTACTACCACACCTTTATAGAGACAATTGAGTTTTACAATAACTGATGATATAATCTTCACTAATTCAGCAAACATTTCTCAAGCACCTGCAGGTGTCAGACACACAGTGATAAATAACAGAGAAGACGACACACAAATTTGTGAATAAATACCAACGGCCTTGCTTTGCCCTAAGAAAATGAACTGGATTTATTAAGATGACCTGACAGTGATGCCAAGCATGGTGGTACACACCTATAATTCCAGCACTCTGGGAGGCTGAGGCAGGAGAATTCAAAGTTCAACCCCAGCTTGGGCAACTTAGCAAGACCTTGTTTCAAAAGAAAAAAGAAAAAGAAAATAAAGTAAAATGGACCGAGGATGCAGCTCAGTATGAAGTCCTAGGGTCCTCCCCCGGTACTGTTAAAAAAAAAAAAAAAAAAAAGGCCCACAGGCAGGAAGACGTCACTGATGTCACTGAACAAGAGTCCCAGGACATATGGAAACAGATGAAAAATACCGTCTAGCAGGATAGTAAAGCCCAGCCAAAGAAACTACTAGAAGCCCCCAAAGGACATGCAAAGCAAAGAGCATGTGGGATCCCAGCTGTCAGCCAAAGGTTTCAAAAGAAGGGAGTAGCCACTCTTTTGGAACAGCCCAACCAAGTGAAGACTGACAGGTCACTACCAGATATGGATACACAAAAGTCAAGGGTAATCCTCATAGCCAGTCCACTGGCTTAGTCAGTAATCCTAGCTACTCGGGAGGCTGAGGCAGGAGGATCACAAGTTCCAGGCAATCCAGGGCAACCTTAGCGAGACCCTGCCTATAAACAAACAAACAAACAATCAGGGCTGGAGATGGTGTTCCGTGATAGAACACTCTTGTGTTCAATCCCCAGCCCTGCGGGGCAAAAAAACATCATCGCAAGAGTAGTTCTGTTGCTAGCCCCAATTTTTTCGCTTGTTAGGAAGAGAATCAAGGAAACCTGGTTGACGGAGGGGAGCCTGGGGCACAGCTGGCTCACACCGGAAGAATCTGCAACACGGGTACGGGCCAAGGGGCACCGGCCAACGCACACGGCCGGAGGTGCAGGACCGAGGCTACCAACCCAAAGGACACTGCGCTCACGGAGGAAGTGACAGTGGGATGGGCCCCGAGACGCGCGGGAAACTGACGTGCGGCGGGACGCTCCGGCCGCAGCAGAACTTACATCTTGTCCTTCTGGTGCTGTCGTTTCCCCATGGCGGCGGCGGCGGCGGCGGCAGAGCCTGCACACGCGGAGAAACAAACGCCAACAACTTAGACCCCAGGCGGCTCCGAGTCTCTCGACTACTTCCGGGCTCGTGCGTCCCCGCCCCGGAAGCTGGCGCGGGGCATGCCGGGCAGCTGCGCCGGCTCTGAGGCTGGCGCGGCTGTGTGCGGGTGGTCTCCTGGCGTGTGGTCGTCTGGTGTGTGTCTGCGTCTGTGTGTCTTGGTCTGTCTCTTCTTTTTTTTTCTTTTCTTTCCTTTTTTTTTTTTGTCTCTTTGAGACAGGGTCTTACTATGCAGTTAAGGCAGGCCTCAAACTCGCAGTGATCCTCCTGCCTCAGCTTTCCGAGTGCTGGAATTACAGGCGTGCGCCACCACGCCCCGCTATGCCTTGATCAGTTTATATGTTTGTCTGTATTGCTGGTCCAGACAAAGCAAACGAGCTCAGTTTTGTGTGTGCTGTGTGCCCTAAAGTGTATGCGTGCGTCCGTGGGTGCGCCCGCGCGTCCGTGGGTGCGCCCGCGCGCACGTGCATTTTATTGTACCAGCCCCTTTCAGTTATTTTGAGATAAGGTCTTGCTAGACCTTGGGACCAGGCTGATCTTCAGCTTGTGATCCTCCTGCCTCAGCCTCACAAGTAGCTGGGAATAAAGATAACCACCTAGATCTCTATCGACCCTTTCTACCTACTCACTTTCCGATTCCAAGCGTTTGCTCCTCACTGTCTCGGAGCCCCTCAGTTACTCAGAGAAGTGATCAAGCCTGGAGATCCAAACCCCTCCCTGGTTCCTTAGGTCTCTTCTGGCGCATCAGTACATCTGTGCGCCCTGCCCTGGCTTCTGTCTGCATCAGGCTCCTGCTGAGCTTGCCCAGGCTTGTGTTTTTGTTTTGGGGATGGGGATTTAGGGGTTGCTGGGGATTGAGCCCAGGCCCTTATCCATGCTAAGCATAGGCTTATTTTTTTTCTTTCATGATTGAGATTTTATTGGTTGTGTTGAGGATTAGGACAGACATTTCACTTTCTACATAGTTCTTAACACAGCTACTGAAAATCTAAAAAGTCATGTAGAGTGCCGTATTTCTTTGTCAGTTATTACAGTGACTTTCCAGTTTCAAATTTGGAGGCAAATTTTCCTAAAGAGGATATGTAATACCAAGACCTTTAAATGTTGATAAACTTTAAATTCCACCAATTCACAATTTCATAGCATGTATACTATATATTCATACTTTTGATTTTTCACAACACATTAACAAAATTATTGGGAAAATGAATTACCATGACCAAAGTTATAGTGTGTGATTCTGACAAAGCCACAATTAAAGAGTGCTATTTTTTTTTTTGAGACAGGGTCTCTCTTTGTAGTTCAGGTGGCGTTAAACTCACTATATAGCTCCAGCTAGCCTTGAACTCTTGGCAGTCTTCCTGCCTCAGTCTCCTAAGTGCTGGGATTACAAGTGTATCACAACTAAAGAATGATTTTCTTTAGGAAGCAATTCTATTAAAAACATGGGAATAGAACTAACTTGAGCAGGTTTGGTGGTATATATCTATAATACCAGCATTGTGGGAGGCTGAGGCAGGAAGATCAGAAAATTGAAGCCAACCCAGGCCACATAGAAAGTTTAAGGTCAGTCTGAGCTACTTAGTGAGTCCCTGTCTCAAAAAACTAAATATATGTACACACATATATTTTTTCAAGACATGAAATACATGACTGGAACTCCAACTTGGCATTTAGGATGTCTTGTACTATAGGATATAAAAATAACCCCCATCTATGGGATGTTAAGCTGACACCTAAGGCAGTCCAAACCTTCATAATTCAATGTCCCACTATTTTCTAGTTGTACCCCCCAAAAGAAAATCTTTAAAAGATCATTTACCCGTTAAAAATAGAGTGAGGTAGGACTCTCTCCTTTAAAAAAAAATGTTGCTAGAGCTACTAAAAACACATTTACAAAGTGATGGATAAAAATGGCCCTCTGGGTTTTACAAGGAGGGCACAGGGTCAAGAATAAGACATGGTCTGCAGTTAATTAGACTTGGCTTTTTTCTTGCCCACATCATCAGAGACTGCACTCTCCTGGTTTTTATTTTTCCATTTCTACAGGTAAGCCTGCAGGTTCTTATTAGCCATGTCAGCATTTCCCCTTTGTGCCCTTTTTCTTTTTTCTTCATTGTTGTTTTATTTTATTTTATTTTATTTTTGCTTGTGTGATTTGTTTGTTTTTGTTTTTTGAGACAGGGTCTCCTTGTGTAGCTCAGGCTGGCTTTGAGCTCACAGCAATCCTCCTGCCTTGGCCTCCCGAGTGTGGGGAACAAAGACTTGTGCTGCCACACCTGGTAGACTTGTGGTTTTAAACACTACTTATATTCTTATATTTCACACTGTGGCCCTCATTGTTTCATAGGTAGCATTCTAGCTAGGCATAGTGGCACATGCCTGTAATCCCAGCACTCGGGAGGCTGAGGCAAGAAGATTGCTATGAGTTCAAGGCCAGCCTGCACTACATAATACAATAAATAAATAAACAGCGTTCTAGATAGCTGACCTCCATTCGGGCAAGGGCGTGTTTAACACGTCTGCGCAAAGCTGAAACCCCTCACCCCCGCCCCCACACGGCCTCTGTTCCCACTCCTCTCTCTGCTACACAGTACTACTGTCCGCCTATTCACTCAGAACCGGTTGTCTTTGGCCTGTCTCATGGCTGACTTCTTCAGTTTCTTTCTTTTTTTTTTTTTTATGTTTTTGAGACAAAGTCTGGCTATGTAGCCCAGGGTGGCTTTGAACTCATGAACTCACTGCCTCAGCATCTGGAATACTGGGATTACAAGGGTGTGATTTCTAGGTTTCAACAAATGTCACCTCTTTAGAACTTCCCTGACCGCCTGACACCATGTATCTCCCTTAAAGGTCACAGTTTGTAGTCCTGTAAAAATCTGGTCTCTGTACTGACTTCACACCCACACACACACACACAAGTGCACGCGCACACACACACATGCACACGAGGATAGCATGTAGGCCTCTTAGGGACAAGCATGTCAGCAGCTTGGTTCATTGTCTCCGGTCACGAGCAAGGTGTGAGGCAAACACCAGGGCTCGGGCGCTATCTGTGAATGTCCGGTGGCCATCATTTCATAAGGACTCATACTTCACCTGCAGGTTGGGTCGGCAGGCCAGCACGTGAAGTGACAGTGACAGTCACATGTCTTCCAAGTTTGGTAGGGCAGGCCAAGTTGGAAACTGACAGCCTAGCTTACTTTCCCACAGGAAGGAACAGAGCACTGTTTGCAAAGCCACACATCAGCTAAGGCAAAGGGAAAACACAGGAGACGTGGGCCACAGAGTCACTGAGGACAAGGACAGCACTCTCCCCATCCTCACTTTCTTTCCGTGGTGCACGCGAGTGACAGGCACGCACAGCGCTGAGCCGCCCACTCAGCACACGCGGGCTCAGGCCCAGGGCGCTCGCGCACACACCGGCCCCACGAGGCAAGAAGGCACCTCCCTGGGAACTTTATTCATCCGCAGCCCTGGTCTGCAGGGGAGAGGTCACGGGCTCTTCTCCTGGGACGTGGACTCTGCACTGCCAGGGCTGTTCTCTGAGTCGTCTTTGGGCCTGGGCAGAGGCTGGAACTTGAAGAGGACAGGCGGGGTGAAGATGGACGCCTTCACAGCACACTCTGGGGGCTTGTCGGAGCTGGGGGAGCCGCTACTGGCAGAGGTCCTGCACGGGAGACAGCCAACACATGCCCGTGAGGCAGGACACTGGCATCACGGTCACCCAGCGTGTATGTGACAAATTCAAGGATGAAGGGTGGCTCCCAATACGTTTCTCCATGAGTGTGGTCGAGGCTGTTCATTGTACCAATGTTCATGACCCAATCTAAATGGCCATGAGAAGACAGCCAAGGAACCATGGTGCAGCCATGCAGTGGACTATTCTGCCGCTGGTTTTGTTTTTTGTTTTTTTACTGGAAATTAAACTCAGGACCTTGTGCTTGCCAGGCAGGTACTATGCCGCTGAGCTATATCCCCAGCCCTTCTGCCACTGTTTAAAGGAACGAGGGAAGTATCCCAAGAAGTAAGGTGAGCTCAATGGTTTTTTTATGGAAAAAAAAAAAGCTGCTAAGAAGTACATGTGATATGATCCTGCTTGTGTTAAAAGTTAACTACTTATTGAGTCACCTGTAATCCCAGGACTCAAGAGGCTGAGGCAAGGAAGGCGTGGTGGAGCATGCCTGTAATCCCAGCACTCCAGAGGCTGAGGCAGAAGCATCTTTGTGAGTCTGAGACCAGTCTGGGCTACAAAGTGAGTTCAAAGCCAGCCTGAACTGCATAGCGAGACCCTGTCTCAAAAAGACAAAAAAAAAAAAAAAGAAAGTAAAAAAAAAAGAGGCTGAGGCAAAAGGATCACAAGTTTGAGACCAGTTTGGGTTCCACAGAAAGTTTGAGGTTAGACTGGATTATGTAGCAAGACCAATTCAAAAAAAATAAATAAATAAATTAGTGTATTTGTGTGTTGGCAAGACCCTCTCTCAAAAAAAATTAACTAGTGTATTTTTTTATGTGCGTGTAGGTGTAGAGACAAAATATTTGGAAGAGTACACAAAAATGCCTTAGCAACAGGGCTCTCTTTTATTCCAAGTATTGTTTGTTTTGTTTTGTTTTTTGTCTTTTTGAGACAGGGTCTCGCAAGGCAGTTCAGACTGGCCTTGAGCTCACTGTGTAGCCCAGGCTGGTCTCGAACTCACAACGATCCTCCTGCCTCAGCCTCCTGAGCGCTGGGATTACAGGCGTGCGCCACCACTCCCGGCATATTCCATGTATTCTGTATTGTGAGCTTTTCCCCATGGAATATGTGTTTTTTTTTTCTTCAGTGCTGGTTACTGAACTCAGGGCCTTGAGTGTGCCAGGCGAGCGCTGTACCTCTGAATTATCCCTTTAGCTCTGAAACATTTAAAAACCAATTAAAAACAACCCATTTCTGGTGATGGCATCAGCAGGAGGACTCATTCACCCTCACTTTGCACAGTGTACCAAGAGCCTAAAAATGATCCCTGTCACTGCAGTATCTCAACAGACAAGAACAGCTGGGGAAATGATGTTCCATCTATACGAGCATTTTGCATCTATTCTTTTTTTTGGTGCTGGGAATCAAACTCAGGACCTTGCGCTTGCCAGGCAGGCACCTGTTTGCATCTATTCTTATTGGTGATCTTAAAGGTATTTTTAGTGACATGGGTGGAAACTCACAAGCTAGAGTTGGTTCCAGAACTAACAGGACATTTTCAAACTCAGTTATATAACAAACTATAGCATCGCACAGGCACAGGTATCCACGGAAAGAAGCCTACATGGAGACAGAAATATTCGAGCAGTGGTTATTTCTGGAGGTGGGAATAGGCGAGATCTGGCAAGTTTTTCTGTGCAGGTTTCATGTTGGCTCCACTAAACTTATTGGTTCAGTCCCCAGCGCTGCAAAAAGAAAAAGCTTCACCTACAAAGAACTAGAAAAAACTGATGACCACAGCCTTGCTCTGTGGCTGCCTGCTCTGTTCTGTGAGGACCAGATGATGCTGTGCTTTACTTTGAAATTTTGCTTTGTGCTAACACTGCAAAAAGTGCTTCTCTTCGCCCCACAATCAGTCACCATCCCACTCTTCTACATCCTCTTCTGATCTGAGTATATTATTTCCTCTTGGATGTTACATGATCGTGTTTGTGTGTGTGTGGTAGTGGGGGCTGAACCTAGGGCCTTCACACTGAGCTGCATCCCCAGCTCTTTTTTAATTTTTTAAATTTTGGACAAGATCTTACTAAGTCACTAAGTTACCCCGGCTGGGCTTCAATTTGTAATCCTCCTGCCTCAGCCTCCCAGAGTGCTGGGATTATAGGCATGTGCCACCACATGTAGCTTCATATTTATAATTTTAAATTACACATGCCTGATGTGGTGATGCACATATGTAATCTCAACATTGGGGAGGCTGAGGCAGGATGACTGCCGTGAGTTCAAGGCCAGCCTGGGCTACATAGTGAGTTCAGGGCCAGCCTGAATTATATAGTGAGACCCTGTCTCACCTCCTCCCCTCCAATAAGAGTCGGTTACATGATATTCCATAATTATATGATGCATAGTTGTTTTTAGGTTTCCTCTTCGTAAATGACATTGCCATGACTATTTTTATACAAATAGCTTTCTCCTTTTCCTTGTGATTTCCTTGGGGCAGTTTTCAGGGTTGTATTTTTATGTTTTCTGACATACCCAGCAGGATTGTAAACACCGGATCAAAGAATTTAACAATGAATGCCTGCGGCTCCTGAGTATACTAAGCACCCATGGTACCACTGACTACAACGCTGATCTCCTGTTTCGAAGTATGCAGTTCAGAGGAATTACTTTTCAGCTTGTCCGCACACTGTAGCACGTGTTAGCACCTAATTCCTTTTTACGTCTGATAATGCTCCATCATCTAGTTGTGCCACGTCTTCTACACCTGGGCTGTTTTGCCTTTGGGTACTGGGGCACATACACATTCATGTACAAGTTCCTTTTGCAACCCTGTTTTCTATCCTCCTGGCTGTTTACATAGGACTGGAACTGCTGGACCAAAAGGGAACTCTGTGATCACCATTTTGAGGAACCGCCAAACTGATTTTCACAATGGCCACACCATTATACCTTACTACAAGCCATGCAAGGGTTTCATTTTCTCTACATCCACACCAACAGCTGTCATTGTCTTTTTTTGTGTGATACTGGAGATTGAACCTGGCGTTTCTGCACTAGGCCAACTTGCACTCCTTCTGCCTCAGCCTCTCAGCGTGCCGGGATTACAGGTGTGCTTCACCACACCTGGCAGATCGTTGTCTTTATTAGAGCCACCCTAATTTATGTGCTGTTACCTCATTGTTTTGGTTTACATTTTTCCCAGTGTAAGGTCCTGAGTTTAATGATGTTGAGCATCTTTCCCTGTTTATTGGCCATTTATTTGTACAGCTTCTATGGAGAAACACCTAATCAAATCCTGTGCACCCACCCCTTTGAGAGAGGGTCTTGGTGTGTAGTTCAGACTTTGAACTCACTCACTACATAGCCCAAGCTGGCCTCAAACTCTTAGCCATCTTCCTGCCTCAGTCTCCCTAGTGGTGGAATAAGAGGTGTGTGCCAGGCATATGCCCATTTTTTCACTGGGTTGCTTTTGATTTTTTTTTTTTTTTTTTTTTTTTTTTTTTTTTTTGGTTTTTTGTCTTTTTTGAGACTGTTTTTCACTATGCGGTTCGGGCTGGCCTTGAACTCACTGTGTAGCCCAGACTGGCCTTGAACTCACAGTGATCCTCCTGCCTCGGCTTCCTGAGTGCTGGGATTACAGGTGTGCACCACCATGCCCAGCTGCTTTTTATTTTTGAGATGATATGCAAATATTTTCTCTCACTGTGGGTTTTTTGTTTTTTGTTTTTTTGAGATAGGATCTCACTATATTGCCCAGGCTGGCCCTAAACTCCTGGGTTCAAATGATTCTTTCATCTCAGCCTCCCAAGTAGCTGGAACTACAGGTATGTGCCACTGCTTGGTGCTGGAGGTAAAACCCAGAACCTCATTTGTGCTATGCAGGCACTCTATCCCCAGTACTCTCTTCCTTCCAAAGTGGTCCAATGTTCTAAAACTGGATGGTAGGTGATGGCTGCAGAGTTATGAATATACCAAACGCTACTAAATAGATTGCATACTATTGAATTAAAAAAAATTAAAAAAGACTGCGACTGGGATGTAGCTCAGTGGTAGAACACTTGCCCACCATGTCACAGGCCTTGGTTCACTCCAGCCTGGGGGTGCTGAGGACGACTAAACCAATCTGGTAGTACTATATTTCTATAGCCAAAAATGGTAGTCTGGCCCAAATGTGACCCTCCTGGCTCAGCTTCCCACATAGCTAAGATTATTCTTCACAGCTTCCCCCCGACTCCCGCATCCACACACAGACTTTAGGCTTCTTGAGAGCTATTTATTGCCTATCCTAGCAATCTTGACATAGACATCTTTCTAACTCTTTAGGGGATGGATGTCATTAACAACAGTCTAAACCCACAGAATAGGTAACACCCAGTGTGGGCCTTAATGTAGACTAGGGCTGCCCCTTGGTGGCATCGTTCCTTTTCAGTTGGGCCAATTCCTCACCATTATAATACCAGGAAGGGACATTACTTTTTTGGTGCTCGATTATACTTAGGGTCATTCCTGGCGGTGAAACGGACATCATACTGAAAACACTTCTGGCCCTTGTACACACTCCCATGAGGCACAGGGGCAGGGCACCCTAGGGCCGGACAGAGTCACAATGGTGCTGGGCCCAGAAAGGCACAGAGACTCGCTTACCAGTGAAAGCCGGGGCAGTGGAGCTTGTGTGGACTGTTTCTAGCCAAGTACGAGAGATGGAAGCCTCCAGGGTTGAGGACCAAGGGGGTCAGATCGACCATGTGGCTACAAGACAGGGCAGAGAGGGGAGGTCACCCACACCTCCACGGCTGGAGAGTGCAGATCTGTGACACAGCCCAGCAATGCCTACACACAGAGCCCAACTCCGCCCCGGGAAACGAGGACAGTAACCGTTAAAGAATGTAGCAAGAATTAAGAGATGGAGACAAAACAGCAACTGAGTCTGGCTCCAGGACACCCCCCAAATGCTCCTTTTCTATTTCCCTCCAGTCCAGAGTAGATTCCTTCCACCTTTTTGGGTTTGATGACAGACCATTCCAGTTTAATTGCACTTCGGACCCTGTGTTGTCCAATTTCTCCATCTGCAGGAAACAAAGGAAAGCTCAGGACAAGTGTGGGAGCCTCACCTTGCAGAACCATCCTTATATGAGACCATGTTACTTCCACTCATTCAGCAGATACACCAATGCCCTTTTGGCCATGGCATTTCACGGGTACAAGGGATAGGCTGGGGACTAGAGCCGACTAAGGAGGTTCCAGTCCAGCTTAGGGGATGGAGAGGAGCCTGTAAGATGAGGAGATGCGCAAGATAAACAGGAACCTGGAAGAGCAGGCACAGCAGGTGTGGGACAGGTGGGACGACACCCACAGGGAGAAGCAGAAGTGTGGCTAAAGATGTAGGGAAGGCCCACAGTTTTGTCTGTCCTTCAGGAGTGCCAGGATCCTGTCCAGTGTACCTAGGGCTGCCTTGCATACCCGAGGCCAAGCAGGCGGAGCTCGGAGCCCTCAACCCCCACCTGCCCCTTCAGTCAGGGCAGCCCCTCTCATCTGCTTTATCCACTGCCATTCCACCTACATCTTGTCTGCAAAGAGAGGTCTGTAGAGGTCTGAGGGCCAGGGTCGTGGGCCCAGCAGGCAAAGTGGGGACTGTTCTGAGCAGGGGGACAAAGCTACCCCTCCCAGAACGGCCTGGGGTGGAGGGTATTCCCACTGACCGGCTTGCTAGGGAGTGAAGGGAAGGGGCCGAAGACCCTGGGCATAGTGTAGACTGGGGGTGATGGGGCCACCACAGAGGTCATGGTGGTGACAGGTGGTGGCAGTGATGGTGCTGGTGGAGGTGGCAGCAGGGCTGGTGGCAGGCATGGAGAGGTCGACCGGTCCTGTCGGAGGATGGGTTCTGGTTTCTTCAGTTTGGACTTTCTTCTCTTCTTCTTGGCATCTGTGACAAAAAAGGCTACGAGTGTCTCCTCATGCCATAGCAGGGCAGAGTGGGGGCCAACACAACGTTGTGGGTCTTCATAATATCCCTCCAGGGACAAAGCCTCAGACCACCACAGACAGGCACCAACATGCATCATCAGGGCTGGGGATTTAGCTCAGCGGCAAAAGCGCCTGCCTGGCAAGCGCAAGGTCATGAGTTCGGTTCCCGGTACCGGAGAAAAACCAAAAAAAAAAAAAACAACAAAAAAACCATGCATCATCTTACCAACCTCCAGCCCCCTGGAGAAAGAGACTTTTGCCTCTATTTTAGGGAGGAACCAGGGCCTGTTTGTACAGGCACGGACAAGGGCCACCCTGGGCTGTCTGGCCTCAAAGGCAGAATCCCACAGGAAGTGGCCGTGTGGGCTTGCTGCCCACCCCAAGCACTGTGGAAAGCGGAGTCTGCCAGTAGCCACAAAAGGAAAGCGGCCCCACAGAATACCCAGGGCGGCCTATACCCAGCCGTACAGCCATTCTGGGGATGTGGGAAGGGCACTTCCTCCATGAGGAAACCCACACTGAGGAAGGCTTGCAGAGGTGGCTCAGAGAGGGCATCTTCTCTTTTAGGTTTTCTACTACATTTGATGAGTCTGTTCAAAGCTAGAGAGGGGCCGGGGATTTAGCTCAGCGGCACAACGCCTGCCTGGCAAGCGCAAGGTCGTGAGTTTGATTCCCGGTACCAGAGAAAAACAAAAACAAACAAACAAACAAAGCTAGAGAAAACCAGCAAAATGGGCATTAATACGATTTTATACAGCCCATCAGAAGGGCTCGCCTATAATGATAATAAGTACCACTTGGCATTGGTCTGGAGCCTAAGAGCCTGCCCTGCAGATCAACCCTGCACATGTCAGCCAACCAACTGTGCTTCTATTTCCTCTTTGGTAAAACAGAAGTAAATAACTCCGCAGCTATCTGCGGACAATGTGCGCTATTGACCCACCCATCAGATGAATTTGTGACATGGAGGACTCACAGTGACATGGAAAGTGTAGACCCCCAACCCCAGGCACCTGGGCCTCCCCGTGCGATGCGGGAGGAATTGCCCCCACCTCTAAGGTAGTGTATCACCAAACATCAACACACCAAAGGAACTGAGCCTGTTTGAATCCAGCCAGGGTCTCACAACAACCATCCAAGAAATATACGAAGACTCAGCAACAGACGTAAACCCACAGATGGGAGAAAGAGAGAGGAAGTGGGATCATTCCACCTCAAAGCAGCCTTTAACAGAAAGGCCACAGGTCTACACCTGCCATCCTGGAGTGACCACTGTGTCCCAGTTTGGACACAAATGATATACACGGTCATCTTAGTGAAAAAGGAACCTAAGAAAAGCCAGACATGGTAAAATACATCAAAACAGCCCTGCAGGAGGCTGAGGAGGAAAGATCACAAATCTGAGCCCAGCCTGGGCAATTTCGTGACTTAGCAAGGCCCTGTGTCAAATTTTTAAAAAAAGGCCTGGGCTATAGCTCAGAGAGAGGGCTCTGAGTTCACCCCTAGTGCCTTAAAAAAAAACCCTTAAGAGGCCTACTGCTCAAAAAGAACATGTGGGCCTCACTGGATCCTGAAGCAACAAAATGAAGAAAGATTTTAGATCATCAAAATGTGAGTATGGGCTAAACGTGTCACGAGTATGAGGGCACCGTGAGATATCTAGTATAACAATAACATGGTGGTTATGTCAGAAAATATCTTTTTTTGGTGATATGGGGGACTGAAACCACAGTCTTACACATGCTACCCAAGCACTCCAACAATGAGTCCTTTTGACTTTGAGACAGGGTCTTATTAAATTGCCCAGGCTGGCCTCGAACTCAGCCTCCCAAGCCACTGAGATTACAGGTGAAAACGTCTTTCTTTATTTTTGTTGTTTGAGACCGGGTCTCCCTATGTAGTTCAGACTGACCTCGAACTCGTGATCAGTTCCTGCCTAAGCCTCCCGAGTGCTGAGATTACAGGTGTGGACCACCATGCCCCGCTCGAAAATGTCTTTCTTTAAAATTAAGATGCGTGGCCATGGGTGTAGAGCTCAGTACTAGAGCGTGTGCTTAACACGAGCAAGGCCCTGGGTTCAAGCCCCAGCACAAAAACGGAGAAAAACAAAACACTGCGGGGCCACTCACGGGCTGAGACTGAGCCTCACCCCGAGCGTACAGGTGCACGCGGTGGATGCTCCTCTTCAGCTGGTCCAAGCGCCGGCGCATCTCCAGAGCGCCCATGCTGTTGCACAGGTTCAGGTTCCCCTGGAAGGCGCAGAGGAACTTCGCCTGCAACAGCAACGAGAGAGGCGGGGCAGCAGGAAGCCCGAACAGGAGAGTCAAGGGGGTTCACTTGCCCACTGCACTCCCCAGGCGCAACGGCCTCGGGCTTCCGCAAGACCCCACCTGCAGCCCGAGCCAAGCCCCCACCCGGGCCGCACCCAAAGGAAGGAGAAGATCCCGCGCTGCTCGCACTCGGCCTGCTTGCTCTTGCGCAGCACCCTCTCTGCCAGCCGCGGGGCGCGATCCAAGGTGCGGAAGAGGCGGCGCAGCGCGCGCTCCGTGTAGGTCACCGCCTGCCTCTCGAAGTCCTTCACGGAGATGAGCTGGCAGAAGGTCACGCTCTGGGGGAACTCGCTGTCGAACTCATCCAGGACCTCCATCCGAGAGGCGCTGCAGGTAGCAGAGCGGCCGTCGGGGCCAGACTTCCGAGGGCCCGGGCTCGGCGACCCCAACCCGCCCAGAGGCGAGGGATGAGGGTTCATCCCGAGGGCCGGGGCTGGAGTGACCGGAGGTGGCAGGAGCCCGTCGGGGTTGGGGGCTGCGGAGACGCACCAGCTGTGCCGCTGCCCAAGAGTCGCCACCACCCGCGTCCAGGCGCGCTAGCCAATCCGAACCCACAGGCAGGGGGCGGAGCTACTCGCGCGCGCGATAGCCACACGTGACAATGCCGGCTGCTCTGGCATGCGCTCATACGTCCTCGAAGGGACGAACGCCGCCAGGATGTGATCTCGCAGGACGGGTAGAGATAGCAGTCTTTCCACTTTCTCGGAGCCCCTGGTCATCGCCAGGCCCATCTTCCAACTATTTTGGGGGGGCGGGGCGGGGGAGTGTGTTTTTGCGACAGAATCTCCACTCCCGGCAAAATTCTTTTTTTTTTTTTTTTGTATCGGGAATCGAACTCAGGACCTTGCGCTTAGCCAGGCAGGCTCTCGTACTGCTGAGCTATATCCCTGGCCCTCCGGCAAAATTCTTTCTTTCTTTTTTTTTTTTGTGTGTGTGGGGGACCAGGAATCGAACTCAGGACCTTGTGCTCGCCAGGCAGGCTCTTGTGCCACTGAGTTATATCCTTGACCCTTCCAACTTTTTTAAAGCCCTAAACCTCGCTTGACCTCCAGTCCCCTCCCCATCCCTGAGGTTTCCTACTCTGAAGAGTGGCCCTCTACCTCTGCAATCTGCAGCCTCCCAAGACCAGCCAGCACTTCCCTCAGAGACACATCACCCACAAAGACTTCCCTCCGCCCGACCTCTCCAGCTCTCCAGCCTTAACTCTCCAGCATCATGCACCCTGCCAAGGTCCTGGGGATCCAGCTCCCTTCCCCTTTCTTCACTGGCTTCCCCAGCCCCTTCTTGATGGCCTTTTCCTCTGGTCCTGTGGGTGCGTTTCTGAAGGTCCTGTGTTTACCACTTCTAGATCCGGGTTAGAACAATAATTTAAGACACCCAAATATTTTTCTTGTTCTTCTGCTGCTCTTTTGTGCTGTGGGTTATACCTAGGCAAGCACTCCACCCAATGAGTTACATCCTCAGCCCTTTGTGATTTTAAGACACAGAGTCAATAAACTGTCTAGGCTGATCCTGCTGCAGCCGCCCAAATAACTTACGGACTTGTGCCACATCATCTATCATCTCAGGCTTAGACTTACCTTGAACTCCAGACCCACGTTTAAATGCCCATTAAGAACGATTCTTAAAAAAAAAAAAAAATTCCTGGGCATCTCATTTTTGTTTGTTTGTTCTTGTTTTTCTTCCGGTACCAGGAATCGAACTGATGACCTTGCGCTTGCCAGGCAGGTGCTGTGCCGCTGAGCTAAATCCCCAGCCCCTCTTGGCATCTCATATTGAACACATCCAGATTTGTTCACAGCTTCTACTCTGGGGAAACATGCTCCCCCCATACTTATTTAGCAGCTGACCCTACTACCTACACTGGCTACTAAGAGGGGGTGTCTTTTTTGTCTCCTCTGTACTCCATCAGCCCTGGGATCCATGGAGTATATATGAGAAGTCTAACCAGATTTTTTGCTTCCTACAGCCAAACCATCAGGCCTCTGGTGCCACCTTTCCCCAACAAAGGAGGTGGCAGGTACTTTCTCCTGTGACTGTAAAATGAACCTTTACTTTAAAATACGTATGTTGTGCCCTTTTTCAAACAGGACAAGCGCCATCTGAGGAGCAATTAGACCCCAGATTAACTCCACCATGGTTCACACTTTACACATTTATTTGTATTTTTAAAAAATATACTGGTCCCTTCTCTGGGCCTAAAAACAAACAGAAAAATAAGAGAACAAAGATTCCACATGGTCTCTACCTTTACAGTGGGGACTTCAGTCACTGGAGAAAACTGTGACGTAACAGGGTCTGGGGGAAGAACATTCAACGCCAGAGTCCAGAGAGGCACCCTCTAGGTGGGCATCCTGGCCTCTCCCAGCAAGGGTGTGATCTGCACAGGACTGAAGGGTGGCCAGCTCCATCCATGGCCACTGGAGTCCAGAGGAAGGGAGAGTGGGAACTAGGTGACCCAGGGATCTAGGAGCCCCAAGGGGCTAAGACTGGGGTACAGAGGAACATGTACCTGCTATTGACTGTCACCCCCAGTTCCCATGAATGCCAGGGCTTATACTGAAGGACAGAATTGAAGTCAGTGTTCCGTGTTCTCAGCCAGGGGTGAACAGTACATCCAAAAGCCCATCTGCACACTTGAGCTTCCTCTCAAGAAGACAGTCTTGAATGACTGTCACTGGGAGGTCCTGATGGTGAAGATGGTCCTCCAAGCACTCCTAGAATTAGGTTCCTTAGAAGTTCAGCCCCAGCTGAAAGATATGCCAGGCACTTCCCAGTCACCCCTGCAGGCTCAGGACACATATATACAGTGTGTCATTGTAGTAGTACAAGCCAGTATGGTTGCTGGCCTCACCTGCAGTTCTGCTCCCACTGAGGCCCATGAAGACTGATGCATGAGGCTGCTGCTTCAAAAGCCTCTGCTTGGACCAACATTTTCTTCTGAGCCTGGTCCTCTTCCAGCCTTTAAAGAAAGTTGAGTCCAAGTACGAGAAGCCCCTCCATGCAAAGCAGTGGACCTCTATTTCTCCACAAAGCCCTGGAGTCCCTAGTTTTACCTGTGCCCATGGGGAAAGGTCTTCAAACCACAACCTTTCTGAATCTGGGGGCTTTCTCTTTGCTTTTCCAGTCATGATTGGATGGGCAACTTAGGGAATGATCCCAAGGACCCACCTGATCCTCTGATGGAGGCCCCAGTCCAGCTTTGCACCCATGCCTAAGCGGTCCAAGCACTTACCCTCTGGGCATCTCAGCATTCACTGCAAGGAAGTGGAGTGAAGCAGCAAACCCTCTCCCCCAAGCACTGTGGACAGTGGGCAGGGCCTGACCGATGCCCTTTCATCATTGCACTGCTTCCCAGTGGCCCACAGTAGTGCAACAGGGAAAGAGTGTCGGGCAGGCCTGCTAGTGCCTCTCAGTGTGGTGATGGTGTTGGTGGTCGCGGTGGGTGGGATTGGAGACCTGGAATGCAGCCCCAGTGGGGCAGGGCCTCAGCATGGGGGAGGGGTGCCCTCTGACCTCTGAGGCCCAGTCCTGGTTAGAATCTCAAGTTTCCATGGAGAAGGGAATGAACTGGGCAGGGGGAGGGGAAAGGAGAGGGCCTGCAAGCCCAAGGGGACCATCCTGGAAAGAGGAAAGAAGGCCTTGTGGGTGAGGGGCGTCCCCAAGGCTGGCCCCAGATGCTTTGACAATATCATTGCACTGCTTCTCAGAGCACAGTAGTGCAACCTCGTCAGAGCACCTGCAGCCAACGGGGGTGAGGGTGAGGGGTGGCCTCAATACAAGCAGGGCGGGAAGTTCAACCTCCGAGACGGGTGGATGGGGCTAGAGCCTCAGTTCACTAAGGAGCTGAGAAGGGGATCCCAGCAGGGCTGCAGTCATAGGGGTCTTCAGAACCTCAGGCCACCCAAGCCTTTGGCAGCATGCTTCAGGTTGTGCAGTAGGAGAGACTCCAGCCCAGGGAGGAAGGCTGACTGGTCAGACAGGGGAGGGGGCAAGCACACAAAGGAGAGGGCCCGCGCTCAGCGCAGTCTGAAGCCCGCTCACGCTCGGGGCGCGAGCACAGCCCGACGACCCTGCGCCTTGACTCGGCCTGCTCCTCTGGGAGAAGAGTGGCCCCATCCCGGGACGATGCACCCCTTCCAGCTCAAAACCCCATCCCTGGTCTCTGACCTTTAGCATCCCCTCCGCCTCCCGTCCTAGCAGATTCTTCTGCCAGTGGCCCAGAGCTGAGCAGAAGGGGGCTTCCCGCCCTTCTGGAGTTCCCTGCCCAGGGAGGACCTCGGGTCCTCCAAAGTCCCTCCACGCACCCGGTCCGTGGGACTCTTTGCCCCCAACCCCGGGCTCAGCTACTCACGAAGACACCTCTCTGCCCAGGGCAGGGGCAAGACGCAGGTGAGCGAGAGGTCCCCACCCGGGCGACCCAGCACCTCGTGGCGTCCTCCTGGCCGCCGGCTCCATCTTAACCCGCTGACAGTCGGAGGGCAGAGCCCCTGATCCTCAGCATAGCACCGCGCTCATTGGCCGGCGAGGGCCGGGTCTTCGCCTTCCGCAAGTCTATTGGCTGCTCCCAGAGCGATTTCAAAATAGCCTCCAGGCTCCCATTGGCCCGGCGCCGCCCGAGTCTCGGGCTCTGCGATTTTAACAATGAGTTCTACAAACACTTTCTCCATTCATAACTTATCAAAAGGAACTTTGCCCGCCTTTTCTCAGCTCCAGTCTCTGCAGGTTTTCTAGCAGTGCCAGTGAGAGCTCTTGGAAGGCCGGTAGGAGGTGCGCCCCGGAGCCTATCCGAGAGGAGGCTGCGACCCTTGGAAAATATCGAAACATTCGGCCAAGCCTGGCATTGAAAGAGGACTCGGGTTCCTTTCTTTGTATTGTGTGCTGTGATTGCTCTCGGCACCCCCACCCGATGGAGTATTCATTCGGACACACGGAGAGGGGTTGCACCCCTTTTGGCTCAACCTCAACGTGCAGAATGGGTCTCGGCTCCCAGGGAGGTTTGCTATGGAGGCTGGGTACTGAGGCCCCTGTGGCCTTGTGGATCTGTGGGTGGTACGCGAAGGGGATGCTCTGCCCGAGTCCTTGCGTGATTGCAATCCACTTTAGGGATGCGCATTCATTAAGTGCCTGTCCTGGGCAGTGAACAGGTAATGTATTTGTTGCCCCACCCTCGCACAGCTCCAACGAAGTGTATATATTGGCAGGCACTTAGGTCACTGAACATCTGTGCCCGCTTCCATTTTACTCTCAGACCAAGCACTAACAGCAAATGTTTTTAAGGTAGGCAGAGCTGATTGTGAATCTTTATGAACCTCGATTGTTGGCTCTGAAAAATTCAGATGATAATAAAACATACTTCAAAATTGTTGCCAGGAGCAAATGAGATGCTGCGTAAGCAGTTCACCCAATGCCGGGCACTTAGTGTTAAATAAATGGGAGACCTGCTGCTGCTCAGGTTATTTTCCATCTTATTGAGCGCATCTGCTCTGGTTGCCCCTGGGTTCCTACCTGCCGTTTACCGTTGTGGTCTGCTCTTTAGCATCCCACACCTCACTGATTTCCACGTGTACACGCAGATGTGTGTGTTCAGAGCGCAGGACTTGCAGGGTAGAGTCCACTGTTAGTGTTTCCCCACAACCCCTTGGCACTCACCTCTACGGAAAGTAAGCTCATTGCCAGCACACAGGACTCTGCTTGGAGGCCTGATTCTGCCTGCTGGAGCCCCCAACCCAACAATGCATACACAGGGTGTGTGGGAAGTGGTAGTAATTGTCCTACCTAGCCAGCAGCCCTCCTCTAAGGAGGAAAGATACTGTAGTGGGCAAACACCCTGGTTTTCTTGCCTTTTGGGTGGGATTAACTGTTTTTTGACATAGGTTTTCACTATGTAGTCCAGGCTGGGCTTGAACTCATGGAGAGCCTCTTAGTCTCTACCTCCAGAGTGCTGGAATTCCAGGCATGCAGCACGATGCCTGGCCAGCAGGACAACTTTCATGAGACCTCCAATATGACTGAGCTCTGGCTGCTCATAGGGCTCCCTTGCTCCGTAACGGGCCCTTTACTTTCCCTTCCCCTTTCACAGCCCCGCTGCTATCCCTGAGTTTTCCAGGATCACCTCCCAACAATCTTCTCCTACTCAAATCCTTTAAGGTCCAGAGAGTGACGGAAGAGGGGTGTAGGTTTGCAAATGATGCTCAAGAAACTTGGCAGTGCAGGGAGCAGGAGGGTTTCATAGGGGAGAGGACAGCAGTGGACCCAGAGCCTACACATAATCCCACTTTCCACAGTACCCAGTGGGTAGAGCTTTTCTCCCATCCTTTGGTAAGGTCAACTGATTTCCCAAATATAAGGTGCTTTATTCACACTACTACTCCAAGCCCCTTCCAGCCACTGCCCACCCCTAGCTTTTCCTTTGAGCTCTCTTCTTTCGGGGAAACAGCACTCTCTCCCCTAGCAGCTCCCTTAAGCACCCCACGGTTCTATGTAGCTCCATGTTGGCTGAGTTAGCAAACCCAGGAAGCCTGTCATCTGCCATCCCCTCTACAGGCCAGCCCCACAGCAGAGGAGCTCTTATCTTGCTTGATTTTGGCCCTCCTATTTCTATTGCTCCTGTCTTTAAGCTGCAATCCTCTGCCCAAATTGTGCCTCCTCTTCCAGGAAGCATTCTTGGATCTCTCCAGATAGCCATTCTTTGTACTTATTATCTTGAGATTTTTTTTTTTTTTCTTGAGATATTTTTTGAGGTTCTGTTCTCTTTGGGACCTTAGAAGGTCAAGGTAGGAGCCCGAGATGCCCAAGAGGGCCAGGGAGGGTAGGTGGGCAAGCATTTGCACCAAGGGTGAAGAAACCTGTAATACCGATTTCCAACAGATGGGCAGAATTCTCACCTGGTCCTTAGTCAAAGATAGGTGTCAAGACTGCCAGAACTGCCAGGAGAATAAGTCCTCACTACAAGGAATGAGGGGGCTGAAGGGCTTATGCCCTATTCCAGCTGGCAGGAGAGAATGCGGCTCCCACTCATGCTGCCCTGGGGCCCACCCCCTCAATAGGAAAGTTCATCAAATGCAGGGACTGGCGTGTTGGGGTCATCTGCCATCAGATCAGCTAAGGGTAGACTGGAGAGCTGATTGTTCAGGGCAATAGTGGAACACATGGAAGAGCACCAAAAAGGCTTGGCCGGGTTCAGCAGCCAAGCTGGAGACAGATTTTGTGCTGAGGAAGTGATAGTAACTGTGCCAGGGATGGCTTGGCACCTCCTGATCACCTCCAGACTCACAGTAAATACAATCACAGACCAACGTTCTTTAATCACAAAGGCACTTGAGGACCCCTACACACCCAAAGTCTCCAGCAAGAGCAGCCTTACAGATGTCCTACCCTGCCACTTTGCATTCACCCATCCACACACTCAGAGTTCATCGTGGCCGGCAGAAGGCTCCACACCAGGCTTGATGAAGATGCCTTCCATGGCCTTCCATGTATTATGCGTGTTGGCACCGGGCATGCCATGCACTTCGTGCTGCCCACGGATAGGGCTCCCGTACTGCTCACCGGTGACGGACAGGAACACAGAAGTGCCTACATGCTGGAAGCGCACAGCAGCCTCACGCTCCCAGTGCTGTCCGGAGCACCGCACTGTCCACAGGTCCAGGTCGTCACCCTCGCCATCTTCCCCAAAAGCACTCACTTCCTACGGGTGTGGGTATGGGGGGGACAGCAAGCACAGAGAGTACACTGAGTCTGTTGGCCTAACAATGGCACTTGTACCCAATGTACTAGACTTCTAGTCCTCTCCTTGTACCACTCTGAGCCTCAGCCTCCACAACTGCAAAATGGGACACAAGGACCCCCTCCCCAGGATCCCCTGCCCAAGGTGGGAGCTTTGGACTTATGCAAAGTGTTGTATCTGTTTGCACGGTGAGCACTGGTCCCCAGGGAGCAAAGGCTTTTTTCTCCCAGGCATATCACTTCCGAATCCAAGGCCTTAGGCTGACTGTTCAAGGTCTCTATTTCCAACCTTTTCCTCTACAAACTCCCCAGCAGCACCCTCAGCTCCATTCCAGCCCCTGGACTGCAATGACCTCAGTATCTTGACATCAGCTCTCCCACGGCCTGGAAAGCTGTTCTTTTTCCCCTCTGGGGCCTGGAAGACTCCTACTCATCACTCCAGGCTTCCAGCCTGAGTTCCTCTTGCCCTCCAGACTTTCCTAATCCCGATCCCAGAGGCTGCGTGAGCTTCCCTCCGGGGCCCCACTTGGCCCTAAAAGAGGAGTTCATCACAGGGGTCTCGATTTTTCATCTGTCTCCTTGCTCGGTTAGGAGCTCCTGGGTGCAGGACCCTAGCAGTCAACTCTGTGTCCCCAAAGGGAGCGCTGAGTAATCATTTTTAAATCGAAATTCCCTTTTCACAAGAGCTGGGACTCAGACAGTAAGCGGAAGAAGACTCAAACTGGAACTCGAGGTTCTGCCCCCGGCCTCCCGCAAGGAGGTCAGGACGCTTTCCTGCGGGCCCGGGAGGAGACGCACCTGGTTGTTGGACAGCGGCGACGGGAAGCGGTGCGTGTGCAGGTTCTTGCCGGTGAGCACATGCGTGAGCCGCACCGCCTGGCCGCAGCGCACGGGGGAGCCGCGCGGGCACCCGCCCTCCGGGCCTCCGCGGATCCGCCAGTAGCTGTTGGCGTCATCCGACGCCTCCACACCGGTCACAGACTGTTGGCCGCTCCCTGAGGGGTGACACCCCGCCCGACCCCAAGGTCTCCGTCAATCGCGTAAGTCCTGACTCCAAGTTTCCCCCGGAACACCGGCACTGGGGCTCCCTGGTTCGGCCCCAGCCCCGCCGGACCCCCAGACGCCCTCCGCTCGGCCCGCGCCACGTCTGGACGGCCCCCGCTTCCCCCCAGTCCTGGGCCGTCCAGGCTCCCGGCACCTCCAGAGCCCCGCCCCGCAGCCGCCTGCCGCCTCTCGCCGTCGCCCCCTAGCGATCGCCCCGCGCAGGCTCCACGCACCGGACCCGTATTTGATGTCGTGCGAGTGCAGCCGCACCCTGTGTTGCGTGTTGAGCAGCTTCAGCACTGACCCGCAGGTCACAGGCCCCACGCCGGTCTTGGTGGCACCACCGCCTGGTACCAAGAGCGCTAGCAGGAGCGCCAGCAGCACCGGCCCCGCAGCGGCGCCACGGCCCACGCTCCGCATCGCCCCCGCCAGGCTCCTGCAGCTCCCGACGCGGTCCGCTTCCGTCCCCCAGAAGACCAATCCGGCCCTGACAGCGCCCGCGCGCGGCAGCCAATCGCAAGCCCGCGCGGCTCTCGACTTGCACTGCCATTGGGTTGACGAGAGGGGACCAGCCTCCAGCTTACTGTCGCAGCAGCTGGGCGGGAGGCTGGAGACACGAGGAGGGTTTTGATTGGTCCACGCTTCCGAGGACTCACCAATGAACGTTAAGGGGCCAGTGGCGGCGGCACCGAGTGATAATAGAGCTCTGGGCAGCACCTGCGAGCGCGTCGATCCCTGTGACCGCTGAGCCTCCCGCTATTCTGCTGAGGTCCTGAGACCCTACAGGTTTCTCTACGGAAGTCCCTTGACCCTGAATCTCTGGGACCTACATCGTGTGTCTCTCCCCTCCGACCCCAGCAGGGTCACTAGGTTTTAGAGTCATAATGGACGGATCCCAGTGACCGAATCTCCTGAGCTTTCAGCTCCTGCACCCAGGGATTTATTAAATCCTCCGAGATGTGTTTATAGTTCCCACTGACACTGGGTCACCTCAGCCCTTGGACGCCGGGGTTTCTTGAGTCCCCTGACCGCTCAGCCCTCCGAGTCCTTCCGTTTCAGAATCTCATGTCGTTGGGTCATCGGACAGCAGAGGGCAGCACGAGCTTTGAGGATAAGTGGCACGTTCTCATCACCGGGAGGCCCCAAAGCTGTCTTAGGAAACCTCAGCCCAAGGTTGGGCTCCATTAGGAAACCTCATGGACCCAAGGGTTGGAAGTAGCTCAGTGTGAGGGTCCTGGGTTCATGGACCAAGGGTCCATGAGAACCTCGCTGGGTGCCTGGCAGGAACGTTCTGCAGCCTTCCCAGAGGGTTGTCAGCTTGGGTTGTCAGGGTTTTCAAGGAAAACGTGCGCCACCGTTTACGAACCAGGTCCTGTGCGGGGCATCGTGGAGTAACTGGCTCTGGGCTGTAGTATGCAAGACTGATGAAGCTTGCACTTGGGACGCTAGCAAAATAGTAGTTAAAGTTCGGGCTTAATTAAGGCATCCAGAATTTTGCCCCAGAAGATCTAGAAGAAAGCCCTTGCAATGACATGTTCATTCAGGTGGTACAGCTGTCAGTATGCACCCACCTTGTTGAGGTTTTGTTTGTTTTTTCACAGTGTTGGGGATAAAACCCAGAGCCTCAGGAATGCTAGGCAAACACCCTACCATTGAACTATAATCCTCCACCCAATTTGGAGTTTTCATGTTTAAGTTGTTTGTTTGTTTTCAGTACTGGGGATTGAACCCAGGACCCTCACACTGAGCTACTTCCAACCCTTTTTTACTCTGAGACAGGGTGTTGCTAAGTTGCTAATTTACCCAGGCTATACTCCAAGTTCTGATCCACCTGCTTCAGCTTCCCAGAATTCTGGGATTACACACATGCACTGCCATGCCTTCCTTGCTTTTTGTTTTCTGAGGCAAGGTCTTGCTATTTTGCTCATATTGGCCTTGAATGTTTCAACCAATCCTCTTGCCTAAGCCTCCTGAGTAGCGGGAACTACAGCTGCACACCACCCTTTCCAGCTCATTTCACCTTTAAAAGCTTCCCATCAGGCATGGTGGCACATACCTGTAATCCCAGCACTCAGGAGGCTGAGGCGAGAGGGTTGCTGCTAGTTGAGGCCAGCCTAGGTTACACAGTAGAGTTCAAAGCTAGTCTGAACAACATAGAAACTCTGTCTCAAATAAATAAATAAATAAATAAATAAAAGCAAGCTTCCTCATGCCTCAACCTCCTCAAATATGCTCATAGCATACGTGGCATATGTATTTCCCTTGCAGTGCTCTGAATATAATGCTTTGGAAAATCTGATTGTCATAGCAGTTGATAGTCAAGATCCCAGAAGCAGAGTGGAGGAAGCCAGTGCGGCTCTCCTCTGACTCTTGTGAGGCCTCCTGGCTTCTCACAGCTTTTCTCCTCCCTTCCCCTGCAGACCACAATCCCCAACTCACCCTGGGGCAGGTGCGCTGGACTGACTGTGACCTCTCTCTGGTAGCCTTCACCTTCCAACCATAGTTTGTCTTCAGAACCAGATTCTCAAGAGTGTGTGTGATCAGCTCATCTAGGTCCGAGGACTGCTCAAGTGCGACCAACTGCGGAGGGGAGAATATGGCCATAAACCATTCCTCCCAGCCCAGGAGTGGGGCAGAGCTCAGTGGTAGAGCATTTGCCTAGCATGTGTGAGGTCCTGGGTTTGATGCCCAGCATCATCAAAGGGAAAACAATTCCTCTCACCTTGTAATCAGAGAAGACTAAGTCCACTTTCCCCTCCCCTGTGACTTGCTTTGTCCAATAGAACGCTAAAAACGTAGCATTTAGGGACTTCTGAGCACTGGCCAGAATTCCTAGGAAGCCAGCCGTGGCATTGTCCTGCAGTGAGGAAGTGCAGGTGAGATTACCGCACGGGGAGAGGCTGTGTGGAGGGAAACTGGAAGGTGGAGGCGAGAGCACATTAGGGACGTTCCCACCTCAGCCCATGCCAGCTGAAAGCAGTCACATAGGCGGCTTTGGCCCATGCAACTGCTCAGCTAAGCCTGTCAACCATGGTATGATGATGTGATTTTTTTTTAAGCCACTTAGTCTTGGGGTGTTTTATACACAGCAAGAGATAGCTGAAATAAGGTCTGAGGATGTCTGTCTTTAGTACAAGGTGTCCATGTTTCCACAGGGTCTGTTCCCAGTCACTCACAGGGCGTGAGTGACATGAGGCAGGGCTGGGGCCACGTTCTCTTCTTCCTTGGTATGACATCGGCACCTGGGAAGCTAGTGGAAATCACAGCAGGTCTGTCTCTTAGCCCTTGAGGGTTTCTCTCTTGGCTCTTTTTTATTGACAGGACTTCTCGCCTCGGGGTAGGTAGATGGTGGCTACTGTGTACCACCTATATTTGTCTTCAGCAGTCAGTGCAAATAACCAGAATCTCTCGATTCATCCCAGTTGCAGGCTTCTGGGGAAACACCCACCAGCCTAGCTTGGAATAGGGATGTGCCAATAGGGCCTAGCACCTGTGGGCAGGTGGGGAGGCACCCAGATACCTCAAGGGCTGTGGAGGAGGTGGTAGGTGGACTCAGGGAATGGCTATTTTGAGTCAAGAGCATGCTCTAAAAGATCTCCGCCACGCCTGGTATGGTGGTTCATGCCTGTAATCCTACCACTCAGGCGGCTGAGGCAGGCGGATTGCTGTGCATTTGAGGCCAGCCTGGGCTATATAGCAAGTTGAAGCCCAGCCTGAACTACACAGTGAGACCTTGTCTCAAATAAATGAGTAAATCAATCAGTCAATCAATCAATCAATCAATCATCTCTTTTACAGGAGCTGTGAGAGTGTCCCTGACCCACCCACCTTAGAACCCTGGTCCCACTGAATAGAAGCTGAGTGAGTATGGGTCTGACAGGTGTCCAAAGAACCTCCCCTACCTGGCTCCAGGGGATGCCTCCTAGTGGCTGTGCCTTATACCTGGATCCCTGGGCTCGGGCATGGTTGATCTTGGCCAAGTAGGCCTGGCCTCCGTGCACTGGGATGGGCTCCAGGAAGAGGTAAGAGAGACAGAGCCACCAAGCTCCCCACAATGGCAGTCTCATGTTCTCTTGTCTGCTGCTGAGGCCTGGTCACAGGGGCAGCTAGGGGAGAGGGTGAGCTGTGTCCTGGGAGAAGACGCGTGAATAGAGGAACAAACAGGGTGCTACACTCACAGACCTTTCTAGAGAGGGTCACCCTGGCCAGAACCCTTGCTGGAAAGTTAGTTCCAGTGCCAGCCCTGTGCAGCTATTCCATAGCCTGACCTGGCAGCTGCTGTGTGGCCTGGAATGGGAACTCCAGATTCTTGCATTGGCACTGAGAAAAACAAATTAAGAAGAAAATTAACTGAGAGTATCAGGAGACGGTAGCTGCATACTTCCTCAGTTGTAATGTGAGACAGTGACATGGCAAAACAAGAAGGAAAACCAAGTGTGGTAGGACATACCTGTAATGCTAGCGCTCTGGGAGGCTGAGGCAGGAAGATGGCAAGTTTGAGCCCAGCCTAAGTAACTTAGCAACTTAGACTGTCTCAAAATAAATAAATAAATAAATAAATAAATAAATAAAGGCTTGGGATGTAGCTCAGTGCAAAAGCCCTGGGTTCAATCCCTATACCAAAAAAAAAAAAAGCCACCCCAGCTGGAGGAAATCCCCTCCAAAAGCAGGAGTCACAGAAGAGCCACAAGAGAAAGGAGAGGAGCCCTAAGGGGCTTGAAAAGAGGAAAAAGTTATAGACTAGAGAAAAGATCAGGCAGAAAGTAGCAAGGCAGCTGATCATGCAAGAGGAAAGCTGTCACTCCTGGCAGGAGCAGTCCTGGGGTCCGAATGCCACCAGCTGTCATGAAGGCTGGCTGCCATCAGGGCGGCCCACACTGAAGGGCTACTCAAGGGCAAGAGCACAGGCACACGGAGAGGCAGGCTGAAATCTCAGGACGAGAAGACCGTGTTGCATTTGCAGATGTTTTATTTCTGTTTCTCTCAGGGGCTCCCTGCGAGTGTTAGCATAGGTCTTCATGGACATCCAGCCCATCCTGACCCTGCTCAGGGTAGCGGCTGGAGCCACAAAGGACCAGGTGGAAAAGCAGGGAATGGCGCACACAGTGTGGCTTACCAGGACTTCATGGGGGATCACTATGGCCCTGGTCCACAGAGGGTCTGCTCATGGCCTCCTGTCCAGGCTCCAAGTGGTCCTGGTGATTCCTCTCATCCTTGTAGGAATCCATGCCCCCAGCTTTGTCCTCCTTGCTACCCTTGTCCTCAGCCACAGCATTACTCTCTTTGTCCTCAGTGTTCATCATCTTGTTGGACTTGGGGAGATTGGAGCCCATGTCCGGGTCAGAGGACATGAAGGGCGTGGGCTGTGACAGGCTTTTGGGGGCCTGATTCTCGGCTGTAATTGACTCCCAAGGGCTGAGCAGCTGGTGGGTTGGTGTGTCAGCAGTGAGAGAGAGGCCACGCTCTGCGGCCTGTTCCTGGTTGCTTCTGGTCGCTGGCATAGGCTCAGTGGATGGAGACTTTGTGCTGTGCTGGGAGACTCCCTGCAGGGAGGTGGGAACCCGGTGGGAGCCAGCCTTCGAGGAGCTGCTGCTGCCCTGGGAGCCGTGCGCCTGGGTGGCCTGCTTTGAGACCTGCAGAGCCTTCTCGGCCTCCTGCAGCTTACGCAGCAGGCAGCTCCAGTCCATCTCCGAGGACAGAACTATGCGGGAGCCCTTCACCTTCTTGAAGCCCAGGAAGAGGTCCATGAGAGCCTCGGTGACAGGGAAGGAGATGAAGCCAAGCTGCTTATTGAGGTTGCTCTCATACTTGTACTTGAGAGTGAGCAAGGACACTGCCTGCTCCACTAAGAAGTTGATGATCTCCTCAAAACAGGGGTTGGACAGGTGGGACACACTGGACTTGGATGAGGCGGAAGGTGGCAGCTTCTTTGCGCTGGAGTTCTGTGTGGCAGCCAGGGAGGAAAAAGGAGACATGTCACCCCTGTTGGTTTGTCCCTCCTGCTGCCCTGTGACACCACATCTGCCCACACTCTCTGGCAGTCCTGCCAGCCCTGTTCGACACAAGCCACACAGAAGGTACACCCGTGCCACATCTGATATGCTGTCACACTCACTAGCCCACCCTCACGCTCACTTCACCCGCCTGGTCAGTGAAGCCTGGGGCAGGGGCATTGACCTTCGTCACCGTGTCAGCACACCCAAACCTCAGCAATGCCCAGGCATATGTTCAGAGGGAAGCATGCCAGGCCTGCATGACAGAGGGCAGGAAGGAGACCTGCCCTCTGTTGGGGACCCACCAGAACGAGGCCACCTACCTCTCTAAATCCCTCCTGGACAAGTTCCCTTCCGCAGGGCAGGGACCGAGTGTCCTGCAGCTGTGTTACAGGCCCCCACTCTGGGCAGAGGCTGCTGCCCATGAGGAGCAGGAGCTTACCCATGTGGGAAGGGCTCCAAGATACACATAAAATGTTGAAAAATGCCTACGATTTTTTTTTAAATAGCCTTTATTCATTCTTGACAACACCTTGAAGTAGTTATGCCAAGATTTCTGATCTTCCAGTAGCTTTTACCTTGCCCACGAGGTTTCCATAGTGAGTGCCAATGACAGTGGCTGCTAGGAAGGGTGGGTGAAGGAGCTACTCCCCTCAAACTTGTCCCCAAGCCCACCAGCCCCTCTTTTGAGAAGGCACCCCATGACACAGTGAAGCAGATGGGGAGAAGCTTCCTTATGAAGGGGATAAATAAAGAGTATATGGGGAGGGAGGCGGAGGAGTAGGGCAAGGGGAGACAAGTGGCCACCAGACGGAACTCCCGAGGCAGTCCCGTCTAGAGGCCACCTCCATCATGGCCCCAGAGGAGGGTAGGGTAAGGTGCAGGCCATGCTTAGGCTGGGGCCCCTGGCTGGAGCTCAGGGCCACAGGCGGTTTCTGAAATTTGGGATCTGAGCCAGGTGCCCTAGGTTTGGAACGGAATAAGGGGCCAGGGCTATTGTAGTTTTCTGCGGTTGTCACCTTGAGCTTGACTCTGTTGGCCTCTTGGGCATTAGACACAGAAGGGGAGTTCAGTCCTTTGTGAGGTAACTTGCTGTTGGCATCACAAGTCTCCTTCCCCTGAGTGAGCGTGGCTGGCAGCTCTGCTGAGGTGAGCTGGGAGTTGGTGGGGAAGAGAGGGAAGCCATCATGGCAGTGGGCTGCCCTGAGTTTGTCTGAAGCCTGGCTGACCACGCCCTGCAGAGCAGGGAAGAGATGGTGCTTGGCCAGGAAGTCCAGGGTACGGTGGGGCTCACGGACAGCACAGTAGCCGGGCAGGTTAAATGGCGCTGGCTGGCTCAGCAAGGACTTCTTGTTGAACTTTTCTTTGAGGAAAATCAGCTCCCGTTCTCCAGGCCCCAGCTCTGATGCTTCAGGGGTCCCTGAGCTGGAGCCCAGCAGCCCTGAGAACCAGGACAGGGGCTGCTCCTGGGTCCAGTGGCTGCCGGTCTGGCTGCCTAGTGAGTTCCACAGCAGGGAGTCCCTCTGGGAACAGGACTGACTCCAGCCTTTCTGCAGAGAGAGGGAGACTCAGAGAGGTGTCCGGGCTGAGGGGCTCAGGTCCACCCCTTCCACACTACCCCTGACCCATGGTCCCAGATCTCACCCCTTTGTTCTCCAGCTGTAGCAGCCGCTTGAGGTTTTTCTCCAGCAGGAGTCTGTTTTTCATGGGTGGCAGTGTGCCTAAGCCTCGGTGGCCTAGGTCACTGTCCCGGCCCTGGGGGCCCAGACAGCCAGCTGTGAGGCTGCTGTCAGACATGGAGCTGGAGCAGGATGGGTAATTATTGGGGTATCCAGTGCAGAGGCTGGGCCGAACACGGTGCCGCTTTACGGTACTGAAGCTGGGTCGGGCACGTACCTGCCGCTTTCCACTTGGCACTTCTACAGAGTCCTGCACCTCCACCAGCGGCACCCCAGCCTCTGTCTTCATGGTGGCTATGCGTTCAGTTGCTTCTTCCACCACTGTCTGCAGACTGTCCAGTACTTGGCCCTCTGTCAGGAAATCTAGGAAGCCGCCAAAAGGCTGAGGTCTCTTCGGGGTTTGGCAGCGGCCCCGGTGTGCTGAATTGCCATCCACTGATGGGGGGTGTGGCACACGACCCAGCTTGAAGGCTGGTCCCATTTCTGGCAACAGTGGCTTCTTGGGTGGTGGTACCTGAGCAAACAGGCTTGTTAAAGTGGGCAGGGTGCCCTGCAGGGAGGGGGTCACTGGGACTCTCCTAGATGTGCCACTAGGAGCTGGATGGGGACTGAGCGGTGGAAGGAATTATATTTCTTTGGCGGTGGTGATACTGGGGATGGAACCAAGAGTCTTGATCATGGTAGGCAAGTGCTCCACCACTGAGCTACATCTCAGTGGGAATTGAGTCTGGGAATTGCATGTAGAATCGAGTAATTCTGTAATCCCAGAACTCGGAAGGCTGAAGCAAGAGGATTGCTGCAAGTTCCAGGCTAGCCTGGGTTACATAGTGAGTTCAAGGTCACCCTGAACTATACAGTGAGACCCTATCTCAAAAAAAACGGGTAATTCCCAGTAGGGCATGGTGGCACATTCCTATAATTTCAGCACTCAGGAGGCTGAGGCAGGAGGATTGCTGCAAGTTCCAGGCCAACATAGGCTGTACAGTAAATTGAAGGCCAGCCTGAACTACATAGCAAGACCCTGTCTCAAAAAAAAAAAAAACAAAAAAAAAACAAAAAAAAAACACCATGTAATTCTGCACTTGGACCGTGACTCTGCCACCTTCAGGTTATGTGAATGTGCCCACAATGGCCCCTGTTGAGGTCCAATTTCTTCATTCTGAAAGTGGAAATCTATTTATGCTTGCCCTGAAGTATCTGCAGCACATACATTCCACATACCTGAGACCTAGCCAATGGGTATGAGAGCCGCTTCTCCCCTTGCACATGACATGAATGAAACCTTCTTGAGTCTGTCTTCTGCTCCTCTTTGGCCCACAGAACAGGCCTGCCCTGTCTGCACTGCTGTGCTGCAGAGAACGCCTAAGGTCCTGAGCCCTGCGCTACCTATGGTTAGGTTCCTAGTCCTCCAGATTCCCTCCTGGGTTACCGAAGTCAGGGGTTCACAGACAAAGAAAGTGATCAAGGCCCAGAAGGGGGCATAGGAAAGGTCGAGGCTATAACAAGGATCTCTTGGTCAGGAGATGAGTGGGGAAAAAAGGGGCGGTCCTGGGACATCAGGGTCTAAGCCCTGCTGGGCACACTTACCCGCGCCATGTACGTGCTGTGGCCAGCCTCGTCATCCGCCAGGTATCCCGAGTGGTGGCGGCAGCGGGCCATGGTGCAAGTAGCCAGGCCCGCTGCTTGCCTCCTCTCTCTTCAGTTCTACACCACCGTAGAGGACTGCTCTCTGAGAGGGGCGGGAGGGGACACACAGTGAGGGCCGGAAGGTCTGAGTCCCACACTGTGTTAGGGACCCTGGGGTCCGCGGGCCCCTCGCTTCGCGCACCTTGCGTCCTTCATGCGTCCAGCCCTTCCTCTGCTAAGAGTCTCCCGGGCGTCGGCACTCAGCCTCATTCCAGTGTCCTCCGGGTGGGGGCTCCCGGAGGACGCCAGCACTGTCTCTGACCGTCTCTGATCTGTAGGTGTGTCCGACACTCCCTCCTCCTCGACCCAGAGCACCTTGTCCGCCCTCGGCCCAGGGCCGAACTGCTCACTAGAGTCCCCTCCCAGATCGGCCCTTGTCCACTCCAGGGAGCTGTGCGGAGCACTGTAGTCGCCCTGCGGCTTACCGCGTGTCTATTTGCATACCGCGTCCTGATTGGTTAGTTACGAGCGTTTCGCCCATTGGCTTCCCCGAGACAATGGTTGGGGCGGGGCCTGCGTTGGTTCCTCCCCGACGACACGAGGCTGGGTCTTGCTCGGTTTCGCCCGGAGCCAAAGGACTGGAATTGCTGCTGACTAGTTTCTTCTCGACCATAAGGAGCTCTGAAGTTGGGGCTCTGATCCGTGATCCTCATCTGCTCAGAGGGGGGCCTAAGAGCAAAAGCCATGGTCGCCACCGGTGATACACTTTCCTCACCGGTTACCGCACAGCCCTGAGCCTCCCGCTCTACTTTCCTGGGGCCTCCTCCCTTGCTCAGTGTGGACAACCCCAGCATCCGTCCTGGGCCTTCTTCTGGCAGTCTTCCTGAGGACCGTGGAGAGTCCCAGCTCTGTCACAGACCTAGCTCCAACTCCTGGTTCTACAGTTTGCTGCCGATGTGAATAATCCTCTCTGAGCACATGCTCCTCTCTTAAGTGGGGTGGTGGCGGTGGATGTGGTGTTGTCTTTCCGCATGAGAGTATAGGGCTTTCATAAGATCTTCACACAATACACTCGATGTCCTAAGAAAAGTTCCATGTACCCGTATGTTTTCTCCTTCTTTCCTACCCAGAGAGCCTGCCACCCACAACAGATTTACAGCAAACCCCACTCTATACTGCCACACAATGTTGCTGCTCCTTTGTCTACCAGATGACGCTCCTTTGGGGGCAGGAACTAAGGCAATCACCTCTTATCTCTAACACTGCCAGTGCCTCTATGCCAAGTGCCTGTGTATGCCAAGAGCTTAGCTGAAGAGCTCTTTGAGCTTTCCAATCCTTACAAGGCCCCATATGAGGTATTATTTATTTTCAAGCTCTACTCTGCCCCTGACCTGGGTGGGTAAACAGGTCCCAGAGGGCTGGAGAAGAGCTGGGCACAGGCCCAGAGTTGCAGGAATCAGTCCACTTTTTTTTTCTTTCATTGATGAATTTTTATTTGATTGATTGATTGATTGATTGTCTTTTTGAGACAGGGTTTCACTATGCAGTTCAGGCTGGCCTTGAGCTCACTTTGTAGCCCAGGGTGGCCTCGAACTCACAAGGATCATCCTGCTTCAGCCTCCCAAGTGCTGGGATTACAGGGGTGCACCACTATGCCCAGCTCTATTTATTTTTTCAGTCCACTATTCTTGTTTTGTTTTGTTTTTTATCTTTTTGAGACAGGGTCTTGCTATGCATTTCAGACTGGCCTTGAGCTCACTTTGTAGCCCAGGTGGGTCTAGAACTCGAAACAATCCTCCTGCCTCAGCCTCCCAGGTGCGGGATTACAGGCATTCACCACCACTCCCGGCAGTCCACTATTCTTGGCAAGACCACACTCCACCTCCCTGACATTGTTTCCTTATCTGAAAAACAGAAATGACATTACCAACTTCATAGGCTGGATACAAATCCCACACTTTCCAGAGAGAAAATCAAGATGGTCACATTATAGTAAACACTGGCTGTCACCATGTTTACCATTGTTATAGTAACAGGTAAGGGAAACTTTTCTGAGCCAAAGAGGAATAAAAGTGAAGCTATGAATGTAAAGGTTGTATCCTCACACAGAGGTTGAGATGGAAATAGGGCTAATGCTTCCTCAAAACCATGGGATGTGTTCATTTTCTTGTTTCGAGCTTTTAATAAGAAAAGCCTCCTCTTAGAAAAATCAGAAGACAATTGACAGTTTGAAAGAAGTAAAAGAAAAAAAAAAAGTTAAAACAGCTAATCACATTTTTAAAAACCTCGTAGACACTACTACCAAAAGAAAGCCAGGCCGGGCATCGTGGCGCATGCCTATAATCTCAGCACTCGCGAGGCTGAGGCAGGAAGATCATTACGAGTTCGAGACCACCCTGGGCTACAAAGTGAGCTCAAGGCCATCCTGAACTGCATAGTGAGACCCTCTCAAAAAGGACATTAAAAAAAAAAAAAGAAAAGAAAAGCCAGGTGTGGTGGTGTACCTCTGATCACGGAACTCAGGAGGCTGAGGCAGGAGGAGCATAAGTTTTAGGCCTGCCTGGAGTCCAGAGTGAGACTCTGTCTCAAAAAACATAAAGCTGAATGACACGACCCAGAAAGTTAACAGAGGTGATCTCCGAAAGGGAAAGGGAATTTTTTTCCTTTTTATTTTTCTCTTGCCCCTCTCCCTTGTTTTTTAAAAAATATGTCACTTTTCAAATACCACTTTTGAAGTCAAGAAGATTTCTTCTTGCAGCAAATGAAGCTTTGGGGCTGGTAGAGCTGAGCAGCTGTCGCAGGGTCCCTCAGGGACCACTAGGTGGCGAGAACAAAGGCGACGTGCGGCCGTGTCTGGGCGTGTGCGCCCGGGCGGGGCCGGACCGTCTGGCCCACTCTCCCCTGGTAGTGCGCTAGGGTTCCAGGCCGCCATGGCCCGGCCGCGTGTGCGGTTGGTGGTCACTGCCGATGACTTTGGTTACTGCCCGCGGCGTGATGAAGGCATCGTGGAGGCCTTCCTGGCGGGGATCGTGACCAGCGTGTCCCTGCTGGTGAACGGCGCGGCCGCGGAGAGTGCGGCGGAGCTGGCCCGCAGGTGAGGGCGGCCCACACCGGTCCAAGCGGGTTTGGGGACGCCCCTTCCCCCCGTGAAGCCCGCGCTCCCGCCCGCTTTCCGCCCGCAGGCACGGCATCCCCACCGGTCTCCACGCCAACCTGTCCGAGGGTCGTCCCGTGGGCCTGGCCCGCCATGGCCCCTCGTCGCTACTCAGTCCTGAAGGCTTTTTTCTCGGCAAGATGGGGTTCCGGGAGGCGGTGGCGGCCGGACGCGTGGCGCTGTCCCAGGTGCGAGGGCGTGGGTGCAGAAGGATGGTCGCGCTAACCTCCAGAGCTCAACCCTGGGGACTGCGGCAAGGGACGTCATCGGGGCAGGAGCGAGACACTGGAGCGACCGCATTGTGGCACCAGTAGGGCGTCATCCTCTGCAGTGATCGCCCCGGAAGTTCAAGGCGCTTGCCCCTCTACCTCTCTCTCCAGGTGCGGGAGGAGCTAGAGGCCCAACTAAGCCGCTTCAGGGAGTTGCTGGGCAGGCCCCCTACGCACGTGGATGGGCACCAGCACGTGCACGTGCTCCCAGGTGCGTGGGCTGGCGCTCCCAGGCTGGGCACCTGCTTCCAGGGGGTCGGGGGAGGCCAACACACCGACCAGGGAGGCCAGGCACTCCTAGAGCCCTCTCCACCCGCAGGTGTGTGCCAGGTGTTCGCCGAGGTGCTGCAGGCATGCGGGGTGCGCTTCACACGACTGCCGGTGGAAGGCGGGCTGGGCGGCTGCGGGTGGCTGGAAGCCCCCGCGCGTGCTTTCGCCTGTACGGTGGAGCGCGATGCCCGGGCTGCCATGGACCCCTTCTCTCGCCACGGCCTGCGGTGAGCAGACTCCAGCCCTGCTGCCCCAGCCCTTGCTCGCACAGGTCGTAGTGCGTGCACCTGGGCAGCTATGTCTGTTTCCCAACCTGGAAAAGAGCCAGCTGGCCTCCAGTTTCGTCCTGTTCTGCCCCCTGCCCAATCCCGCTGACCCTGCCGCTCTGCCATATTGCCTCTGATTTCCAGGTGGACAGATGCTTTCGTGGGCTTGAGCACCTGCGGGCGATACATGACTGCTCAGCGTGTGTTGGGGGCCGTCACGCGGGCTCTGGAAGATAACCCCACAGGCCATACTCTGACCGTTGAGCTGATGACACACCCGGGTTACCCCAGTGTGCCCCCAGCTGGAGGTTGTGGTGAGGGTCCGGATGCTTTCTCCTGCTCTTGGGAGAGACTGCATGAACTTTGTGTCCTCACAGCACCCACGCTGAGGGCAGGGCTGGCCCAGGGCGGGGTGCAACTGTGTGCCCTTGAGGACCTGGAGTCCAAGAGGCCAGAAGGAGTCTCTTGAGAGTCCACTCTGGAATCTTCCCTGGACCGTTCCCTACCCTAAGCACTAATGCTGCTTAGTGTGGAGGAAAGGGAGCAAGATGATGGTCAGGTGCAGCCTGGAGGGAGGCCCTGGAGTAGGGTCTATGCCTTCCCAGAGTGACGGACACACTGCCAGCTCTGTCGCCAGGCTCTCATAGCTCAGCATGGCAGCCGGCGCTTCGCTGTAGGCAGATCCAGCCTGTGACATCAGCGTCTGGGGCCTGCAGTGTTGGGTACCAATTCTTGTTGCAATGTGAACACTTGATTGTTCAGTGGCAGTGGGCAGAGATTTTATGTAAATAAAAGAGTATATGTCTTTCAGACTTGCGTGATTTTTTTTTTTTTTGGCTTTTTTTCTGGTACCAGGGATCGAACTCATGACCTTGCACTTTGCCAGGCAGGGGGTGTGCCGCTGAGCTAAATCCCCAGCCCCCGACTTGGGTGATTTATAAAATTTCCCAGGAAACCTTCACAGAAACAGAACTGGACACACAGCAACTGTTGGTGGCTCAGTCCATGAATACTCCAGGAAAGATATGCAAAACATTCTCTGACCTTTCATTTTGCTCATGCTTATATTTTTGTCTTGGGGAGGTAGTCTAGACAGTGTCTTATGTATTCCAGGCCAGCCTGGAAAACACTACACTGTATAGCCCAGGCTGGCCTCAACTTTTGGCAGTCCTCTTACCTCAGCCTCCTGAGTGCTGGGATTACAGGCATACACCACCACATCCAGCTTTTTTGATTTTTGAGTTTCACTGTTACCTAGACTGGTCTCAGACTCCTGGGCTCAAGTGATTCTCCCACCTCAGCCTCCTCAGTAGCTGGGACTACCAGTACCACCATGGCACCTGGCAAAGCTCAATTTTTATTTAAAAAGAGGTCACTTGTTTTAAGCTATTCCTGGTGACAGGTCTGAGTAGGTCCTGTGAGCTCAAAGAATGTGTTTAAATTTTTCCAGGAAGGGCATTCTGTGGATATTGAAACCTGGAATTCCTGAGCCTGCTGGTATAGGGATGCTCTGGTGGGCAGGGATTCCATGTCACTTGGGACCAACGGCCCTGAGATGCAAGGAGCAGAGGAAGAAGTCCATAGGGAGTCTGAGCAGACTCCCTGTGCCTCAGTCTAGAGGACAGAAAGGCAGATGAAATACCACATAGTTCTCATCCCATTTAATGCCATGTGTCCTCAATTTACAGGCCTAGAGGTAGCAGTGGCAGTGCAGGGCCTTGGAGCTTTCACTGATGTGCCCTGGGCTCTGGCCTGTCAATCACAGAATCAAGTGCTGAGAGCTCTCCCCTAGCCTTGATAGCCTACAGGGACACACAGCTTTCTGAAGGGACATGGGACCCTGTTCCTCTTTTCTGACTTCACTGGCCCACACCTGACTCTCCCCTTGGCTGTGGTTTCAGCTCCCTCTTTTCGGTCCCATGTTCACCTTGTGTCCTAACCTTTCCTTGACTTTGACTTTTGGCAGCCATAGTACCTTTCCTACTTCCTTCCCTTCATGGTTGTGAACAGAAGTCCCCATGGGTTTGGTCCTGCCCACTGTCTAGCCTTTACCTCCTAGCTTTGGGCCCCTGTGGTCTGGCCACAGTCCTGCGGAGTGCTAGCTGGGGCTGGCAAGCAGGATGGCCTGAGGGCAGCCTGTTGGGGGCCTGTTGCTGCCAGAAGTGGGGCTTCTGTTGTGGAGTGCTCAGAAGCAAGAGCAGCCAGCTGGTGGTGCAGCTGTGGGACAAAGGTGTGGGTGGGCACGAGGGCTGGGAATAGTTGTTGCTACCCAGGAAGGAAAGAGGGATAAGCAGAGATGGAAGTGGAGAACAGCTCTAGGGACCAAGAGCATTTAAGAATGAAGTGAGGCAGCTTGGCCAGACTAGTATGATTAGGTGACTGAAGGATTCCTTGGGAAGGGTGGGGAGAGGTGTTGTGGTCGCTGGTGGCACATGGAAGAGAGGGATCACAGACATTGCTTTTTACACCAGCGGGGGGGGCGGGGGTAGGGGCGGGGTGTCTTGCTATGTAGTTCAGGCTGGCCTTGAACTTAAGATCTTCCTGCCTCAGCCAACTGAGTGCTGGTATTATAGTTGTGTGCTACCATGCCTGGCTGTTTTTTAATTTTTAAAAAAGTATGTGTGTGGGTATAATAGGCCAGCCTGAGTCTGGGAATGGGGAGAGCTATCTTCAATTTTCAAACTTATTTTTTGAGACTGGGTCTCATTACTCAGTTGCCCAGGATGGGCTCAAACTTGCAATCCTCCCGCCTCAACTTTCCAGAGTGATGGGATTATAGGTGTGTGTCACCACACCTGCCTTTTTCTTTTTGAGACAAGGTTTTGCTAAACTGCCTCAGGTGGCCTCAAACCTGCAATCCTCCTGCTGCATGGGAGTGCCGGGGATTAAAGGTGTGCATTGTTACACCTGGCTTGTGGGAACCCTCTAGGAGGTGGAAGTGTGCTGACTGGCAGGATGCAACAGGCAGGCCCACACTAAGTGTAAAAGCAGCTAGGTGCCTTTAGATATCACTCAGACCTGGTCTCCTCCCTGAAAACAGGGATAATGATGCTCACAGGATGCCCTGACACATCCTGTGACAGGCAGGAACAGGTAAAGTGCTGTGCAAGTGGCAGAACGGTCCACCCCACGATCAAAGGAAAGGACCCTTCTCCTTGTCTCTGATAAAATATCCCAGAAAGCTTCCCTTGGGACTGGAGACCCCACCAACAGCCCAGGCAGGGCTGGGTCAGTGCTACTGTTGCAGTGCCTCCGGAGTGAGGGGTGCCTTGGGCTGGCTTCTGGTTAGAACCATTCAGGAAAATGGCCTAACCACACCCTCATCAGGCCCAGGACCTTGATCAAGACCCTCTTCTCAGGGCCTGTTTTCACCTCTACTAAACATGGCTTGTAACATCATTCTCTGGGGCTGTAAGACTCCCGCCCATGTGTGGAAATTGCTGTACGCTTACTAGACTCTCATCGGTCCCTCTACAAGCCCTGATCGCACTGACTCTGGTGTTCCCAGCACTCATTACACCCCAACGCCTTCCCTTTAGGGAGGTAGAACACTTCTATATACCTCTCCTGCACAAGCTAGAATGGGGAGAGATCAGAGGGCCCAGCCACACCTCCCAGTCTCAAAGAACACAGGCCCCTGGCACTACCCACCCCTAAAGGAAGAAACCCACACAACCAAACCAGTGTCGGAGAGCATTTTTATTAAGGGCAGCAGAACGGGATCGCAGCATCTTAGAAAGCCTATTCTCTGCCACTGTGAAAGGGCAGGAGGAGGACCCCGGGCACTTCAAGGAACCAGGTGGATGTGAATTCCTGAGCCAGTGCGGGTCAGCAGTGGGTGGCTGCTCCACAGCTCTCCCCTTCTCCAGAGCATTCAGCTTTTTGGTTTTGGAGCAGCCAGAGCTGGCTGCCGGCTTGCTCAAAGGCTGCCCTGGGACACAGCTGAAAGGAGCAAGCCACCCAGGCCAGAGGGAGGGACATCCACTGACTTGAAAGCCAGGTCTTTGCTGCCAGGGCAGACCGTGGGGTGCCAGTGACAGGGCTGAGTCCCTGAGAGGGGCTGCCGGCATAAGGGTACCCTCCCACGTTGAGCAGAGAGCAGAGGGAGTGACAGGCAGGCAGAGCTACGTTGGCAGAAATACGAAGCAATGGGACAGTTTTCAAGGATGACAATTACTTCTGGACTTAAGCAACGAGAACAAATGGTGGCTTGCTTGGATAGCTTTTGACAGAATCTGGCATTTTATTACAAATCTGAGTGTGAGTGAAATAAAATCCATTATCACTTTTCTCCTAATGAAGAGACAGAAATGCTTGCCCTGTGCTCTTGGCGTCCTGGGCACATAATGTCTCCAGAAACCTGCCCCTTGCGTACCTAGGACTAAAGCAGCTGAGTTCATTTACACACTGCAGGAGCCACACGCCCGGACAACAACGGTGCTGTGCATCTACACTACCTGTCACTTCGCACTTCTGCACAGGCAAAACCCAGGGCTACCTTTTATGTCTGTAACCCTGGAAAGATCAAGTTATAGAGCTAAAGTGAAAAAACAGAAAGCAAAGTTTCTTGACGTCATCTTCATGGGATCTAGTCCCCCTACAACCAAGAAGGGAAGCCGCCAGTGGCAGAGGTTGGTGACACATGGTGTTTGATCAGCTTCCTCAGGGTGTCAGAGTGCCATGCATTCTCTACCGTTTTAGGGATAATCCCATCTGCCTTGAAAAACATTATTAACATTCAAATCCTTACAAAGTTCATCTGATGATAAATTCTAAGGTCAATTTTTATTTCTACAAAAAAGGCAATCAAAACAATATAAAACACATTGAAAGGTATTACTGAGTGAGCTTCAAGTGGAGCTTGACTCTGCAAAGACTGAGTCCAAAGGGAAAAGGAAGGCCGTCTTGTTCCTGGGCTGGGCCACCAGCTGCGCTGAAAGGAAAGGGCCAGTAGGGGCCCCAGCAACCCCAGACTGACGCCAGATATGAAGCCGAGTCCAGCCAATTCCAATCCCACAGAGGGTCAAACTGTGCCAAGGGAGGGTTGTGGCGGGGCTGCTGCAGAAAGGAGTCGCAGAGCTCTGTGGCACATTCCGATGGAGCTCAGAGATGGAGGAGCTTGGAATCTGAAATGGACATTCTGGCTTCTGCTCTGCCTGCGCTGACCAGTGGATCTTCTAATATGGTTGCAGGGAAGGTGCCAAATCTTGGCCTCTGGAGCCTTTCCGGTGAGAAATTCATCATCATCTCATAAGCAGTGTCCTCAGCTGGCAAGCCCTCCCTCCGGAGTCACCAGACCTGGCACTGAGGGTTTCCCTACATAGGCCAGGTAAGGCTGCAGGTCAATCAGGTATACACAAACAGCAGGGCTTGCCCATTTAATCCACATTGCTGTGGAAACATGAGCCAGATTTTTACAGAAGAGCTGAGTGGGCCTCCCTTTGCAGGGCTTTTCTTTTCTTTTTTTTGAGGGGTGGTGATGGTGGTGGTTGGTTGGTTGTCCTGTAATTTTTTAAAAGGACATTACAGACTGGCATCAGGAGAATTGAACCAACTCCCATGCAGGGCAGTGTGACACGAGAGAAGAAAAGCCACCAGAGCCATTTCTTCTCCTCTGCAGAAAAGATGGGACCTGGGTCTTAGGAAGTGATCCGTGAAAGATAAACTGAATGCAAAGAGTGGGAGTTGCAAGGGCACGGAAGGACGGGAAACCACAACCGTTTTTTTTTTCTTTTTTTAACCTTATGGGCTAAATGTAACTTGAAGATTTTGGGTAAATTTGGACAAGAAAAGAAACACCATGCTTTTGAAGTGGATTGAAGCAGTGATTTTTTAAAACAAAGAAAGCAGAACTAGAATATCTGAAATTTTTAATCCTTTCTTTACAGGTTACTAGATCACTTTTGATTAAGAAAACTGTAGAAAGTTAGTAACTGCCACAAGTGAACGCCAGGCGGTGGCACGTGTCAATTTTCCACAGAGTCCTGCTTTGCGGGATGTCTGAATGCACTGCTCGGGGTCTCTGCTCACACTTGCTGGAATCATTTGTGGCAGATTTTAGTCCACAGGTCGCTTTTCCCCATATTTCTTTGTAAACTCTTCAGCATTCTTACAGAATTTTTTACGGTCCTTAGAGTATTCTTCAGCTAGGTCAGCCCGGAGCGGGTGCTCGGGCTGGGGGTCGTTCACCAGTGCTATGAGGGACTGGATTACTGCCAAGAGAAGGACAAGGCATTGGGGTTAGAACACATTCAAGGAGGACAAGAGGCAGCTAACTTCAGAGACAGAACTCTAACTTCAATAGTGACTTATCACCAATATGCTTTTTGAGACAAAGCAACTTTCTCGCTATTCAAATTCATTACCACCAGAACCCAGCCATTTTTTTCCCTATACTGTAATCAGGAGAAAGGGATAAACGACAAATAGCCAACTTTACAGCGGGTAACTGTTCAGGGTGATGCTCCAGCCTCTGGGAAGCATTCCTGACCCAACACCAGGATGCTCTGGAGACAGTAGGCTCTGCACCGTGCACAGCTGCTCACACCCAAGCACACACAAGATTACTTTCCCAGGTTAGGATTTGGGGGTATGTGTCTACCTTCACCCGGCACTCAGCACTACACTCAGTTCAGGACAGTTTTGATCAAGGTGAGAAAGAAGAGATGTGTGATGGGGCTGTACCTGTCCACGTGCAATGAATCCAACCTAAAGGGCCCCAAGGAGCTCCTGAAGGTACAAGTAAGATTCACTGAAGCACCTGGACTAGCCACTGGGAGGATGACAACCACTGTAGTATCTATCAATGTCATGGCGAAAGTCACATAGGCTCAAGGGTGCCGTGATGCTTCACATGGTACAGCAAGTCCCAGACAAGCTGGAAGGCAATCCTTAGGGGGAAGGATGGCACAGGAGCGCAGGACAGGGATAGGAATCTGCAGCAGGGTGCCACTTGCATCTCCCCACAGTAACTCCTAATCCTTGTTAGCATCCCCAAAATGCTATGATCTTTCCCACCACTATATTCCCAGCTCAAAGGTGCCTCTCCTCTCTGGATTGCTGATGCCAGATTCCTCTACTGGGGGCCTATGTTCTCCTCTTAGCATTACAAGGAATGGTGTAAAATGCCGACACTGGCTGAGCTGGGCATAGTATAGGCACGGCTAGTCACCAACACACGCCGAGTACGGGTCTACCACAAACACCACCTGCCTCCAGCACAGCCTATACCCAGTGAAGGAAGACAAGAAAGAGGAGGCACCCAGGAATATGGCAGGCCCTAATGAGGCCTGTGGCAAAGCTGAGGCAGGTCTGGCACAGCCTGGTTCAGGTACAGTGGGAAAGATGGGCAGCAGGGCACAGAGAACTGTGAAGAATGGGGCCAAGGGTCTGGAAGGCTCTCTGCAGGCCAGAGCAGCGTCTAATTCAATCTCCACACACTCCAGGGCAAATACTGTCACTTCCTGGTATGCACTACATGTAGCACCTCTAGAGGAGGTGGGCCCTGTAAGCATATTTTTGTCTCTTTATTTCAAGATTTATCCTTTCCATATTTTACTCGTTTGACTGAACAGAAAAGATAAAGCTGTTCTATCCCTGTTTTCCCAATACCAACCACTACTATTCCACTGTGCTATGTATCCATACATAGCTTGCATCCTTGTCTACTTACTATATTCCCTTAAATCACTTTTTTGGGGGGCAATGCTAGAGATGGGACCCACAGCACTGTACATGCTTGGCAAGTGCTTTACCACTAAGCTACACCCACTGCTCTTTAATATTTAAGAGGCAAGGAAATGTCAGTGACTCAAATGGAAAATCACCTTCATTTGTCATAAACAGAAGGCATGCATTAATAAATACTAAAATACCACAGGGCAAATGTTGTAGCTCAGGGGTATAGTGCTTGCTAGCACATGAGACCCTGGGTTCAACCCCCGCATGGCAAAAAGCAAAAATGAAATAAGCAGGGTATCGTGGTACAAAGCACTTGGGAGACTGAGGCAGGAAGACTGCCATGAGTTCAAGTTCAGCCTGGACTATGTATGGAAACCCTCTCTCAAGCTAAACTAAACTAAACTAAAGAATAAGTACTTATGTCTCCTTCCCTTCCTATCCAAGCAGGGGAACAGTGTCTTTCCCCTGTTTGGGACACTTTCATGGCTTCCCCTAAAAACTCACCCTTGGTTCACTGGCTGTGGTGTATTTCAGTGCATGCCACTGATATATGAACATTACTGCTTTCTTCCCCCTTTTTAAAATGCAGTACTGAGGACTGAACTGAGCTACACATACTAGGGTCAATGCACTGAGGAGCTATGCACTAGGATCCATGCACTGAGGATTTACACACTAGGATCTATGCACTGAGGATCTAGGATCTGTGCACTGAGGAGCTACGCACTAGG